CCATTTCACCATTGAATAAAGGAGCTGATGTTTTGCCAACAATGAATTCAACATACTCAAGTAAATAATCATGGAAGGTGTCAAAGATAACTTCTTCAACTTCACCATCAACACCAAATTGAACGTATCCTTTGGCCAATCCTTAATCGCCATGTCTAATATATCCAAAGTAAACATAATTCCAATGACCTTCTAATGATGAAAACTCAATGTCATCTTTCAATTCCAATGTCTGGAATTCATATGAATCTGGAGTCAAAGATATTGATAAGGTAGTATCTTTAGGAGTACTTGGTCTGTTGGCATTAGATCTAACTAATTTACCATCAATAGATTCAATAACATAGCCTTGAGTACCCATTCTAGCAATAGTGTGTATTGGTGCTCTCTTATTCAAATATTTAGGCAATGTACTCAACCATCTAGTCCATAATCCAAAACCATATTCACTTTATCCATTAATTTTCATTCCTTCCTCATTATGAATGATAATCTTATCCACAACATTTTCTGGAGCATCATATGCTACATCTCTAGCTTAATTAGCATCTCCAGCTATGTAAGTGATGGGCTTACCCACTTAATACACTCCCATAACTCCTTCGCCATAATTGAATGTCATCTCAAACTCTAAACCTTCTCTGTATGCTCCTGTTCCAAGGTAAATACCAACATATCCAATCATACCGTTGAATGGAGATATGACATCATCACCGCCTAAAGTAACACTCAAACTGTTAACCAATTTGTGTTAGATGCCTTCAAATTTAATTTCTCCTACCAATCCTGGTTTTATCACTGCTCCATAGGCACGTCCTCCATCATTATCATATCCAAAGTAAACATAAGTCCAAATGAACTCAACACTTTCGACTGTCTTTGATAAGTAGGGTTATCCCTTTGCTCTATTACCCTTGATTGTATAAGTATTGAAGTAGACTGAACTCTTAGCACCACCACCATATGTATAATGTACTTCTAATGCTCTATCACCTAAAACTCCTTTTCCTGCAGTTTTGACTTTGTTTGATCTCAAATTAATTAACTAAAATGTATTTGGTTCATCCACTTTTAAGTCATCGATCCATCTAAACCATAAACCGACTGCATATTCCTCTATAATCAATTAAGATTCTTGTGGATCAAAGTGGTACTATTCACCTTTATCATTTCCATTCAAATGTTTAGGTTTTTAAACAACAGTGTCATCTATCATAGCAGGAACACTCTAAGGAGGATTACTCAAAGTGCTGAGAACTTCATTCAAAGCTTCATCTCCATCTACAAATGCTGGAGCATCAATGTCAAAAAAGATATTTGCAAATTGTCCATTTAATCCACTATAGTCCAAATGCTTGCCACCAAATATGATTTTGATATACGAGGGTGGAATGTGAGTAGCCTCTAATTCTACTCTATAGATTCCATTGCCTTCTCCATAACTTGCTATGTAACCCACAGCTCTTCTTAATGGATTACTGTAAGAGAACATAACGAAATACCACATACTGTCCATGTTCTCGTTTAATACTACTGCCTTATCTTTAGTCTTCAATTTCTCGCTTGTATCATAAGTGCTGAATACAAAGGAATTATCAAACAAAAATACTGCCAAAGCTCTGTCTCCATAAAATGAAAAATCTTCATACTACTCATTTATTGTCATTCTTGATAAGAAATAGTATTCACCATCTTCTCTACTATGTTCCTTAACTCCATGTTCTGTGTATCTGACCCAATATCCATATCCATACTCAGAAGAGTCTTGAAGTAAGGATCGATCAGTGAATTCGAATTATTCTGTTGGCTCACCATCGAAATCAGAATTTTAATATTTTGTATTTACTGCTACAACTTTTCTTTCTTAAACACGACCTGAATTAGCTCGATGTTTTGGTGGTTAAAATTAAGTAGGTTCATTTGGATTAGGTTCTTCTCTTAAAGATTAGATCTTTAATGAGCGATCATCACTAGTCTTTTGTTTTTTTATTTTCTTGTCATCATCTTAGTTTTTATGAGAATCTTTGTGATCTTCACTTTATTCATGAGTATGTCCTTCATCTTTCTTTTCACCTTCTTCTTTTTATTCTGTTTCTTCTTATTCTTCTTATTTTTATTCAGTTTCTTCTTATTTTACTTCACCTTCTTCTTATTTAACTTCACTTTCTTCTTATTTAACTTCACTTACTTCTTATTTAACTTCACTTACTTCTTATTTTTAAATATCCTTTTTATGTTCAACCCTTGATGATCCAATTTAAATAACATGCTCATCATCTTAATGTTTAGATTAATTATCAACAACCACATCTGCTTCATTTTCTGTTTGTTAACTATCACTATGTTCAGTTGATTCTTATTCTACTTTTTCATCAGAAGTACTTTCAACCTTAGTTTCTGATTGAGTAGTTGATTCTGATTCATGAGTTGTTTCTGTTACTTAAGATTATTAAGTAGTTTCTCTCTATGTTTATTCTTCTGTTGATTCCTCAGTGGATTCCTATTCTTTACTATCAGTCTCTTTTGTTTCATCACTTTCATTTTCAGTTTATTCAGCCTGATGAACTGTTGTGATTTTAACATCAGTAGATGTATCATCACCATCAGCATTTCCAGTGTTAGTCTCATCAACAGTAACATTTTTAGATTCATCGATAGTAACATTCTCTTTATTTTCAGATTCATCTTATGTTAAGGGTTTATCATGAGTTTCTACTATTATTTACTCCTATTCAGATTCATTATTTTCTCTAGTTTCCTCTCCATTAGTTTATTCTTTTTATTCTTCTTCCCCTTATCCTTTGTCTTTATCATTATCTGTTTTCTCACTATCGTCATCCTCGTTATTCAGACCCTCTATCTTACTTACCTTAGCTGCGGACACTACAAATTCTGCCTCTTCTTATTAATTTTATTATTCATCAACATTATCCTTCATTTCTCCTTCAATCTCATGACCTAAGGCTACATATCTTTTATTTCCTTTGATTTCATCAACTATTTCTTTTGGCACTAACTTCTTAACTTATTTTTTTTATGGTTTTTTGGTCTCATCCTAGTATGTTGGATAGGTGTAATGTTGAGGTTCATGATAGACGTAATCGGAAGGAGTCTCGACATCTTCCTCTTCAAAATAATAATAAATTATTTCTTCTGGCTCCTCGTCAAAGTTTAATACCTCATCATCAGGATCATTATCTATAATTATTGTTGGCTTCTTTATCTCTTGGTCACATACTCTCTTTAATGTTTGAAGCTAACTTATCTTCTATCTCAAGCCTTGAGTACGTTTTGCATATGAGCATTAATCCAAGTATTAGTGAATCTAATCTTAAGTCTACCTCAATTGGGCGATGATTTTATTCGCTAATGCAATCTTCTCCTCAATGGCTAAGTTATAATCAAAAATGAGTACTTTAAGTGCCATTTAATTATGCCACATATTCAAGGGCATCCTCCACTTTACAAGCAGCCCATTTGTTTTATATAAATACACTTTAGAGTGATTTACTCACTTTACTTTATATTTGCAAAAGCATAGAGGAATGAATCACAGATATTGTACCTTTTGCTTTTTCTACGATGCTTATCACTTAATTAATTATTGCAAGATCTTTGATCAATTGATCTCGATTATCTATAATATCAACCCATCTTGCCAACTCCCCAATCGTGTATTCAAAATCAATGTGGCAATTTAAACGAGAAACATCTAGATTTTATGCTTCAGTGTAGGTCATCCCTGATATTTTATATAATTATACCTTGAGTTCTAAGCTCTGATGCTTCTATTTTCGTAGAGATAACCACAACCATCAACAACAAGAATGTTATTAAGGTTTTCTTCATTTATGTTAAATATATATATACTTTAAACCGTTTTTATATTTGCTATTAAATTTTATTCTTCTCCAAATACGCAAATTCATGATCACTACATTTAGATCAACTTAAATTATCCACCTCTAGACTCTGCCATGCACCCCCTCCTCTTTTATAAAAAGTAGACTAATTAATAAAATTGCTATCCTCCTTTATAATATTGCCACAATTATTTATAAATTTATAACCATTTTTTTAATATTCCAGCACCTCTCAGACTCAAAAAAATTAACAATCAAATAAGACAAGGAAATATTATACAAATGTTAAAATTAAGTTTAATAATTAATTTACTAAAAACCAATGAATTTATAATTCTTTCTTATCGAATAGACTGAGTTAAATATTATGAATATGATAATACCTACTAAAATATCTATATAATGAAATGAAGGCTTCTGCTTTATTCATTTAAAATAAGTTACATTAAATCAATCTTCACTTATGACAAGTCATTCCTCTTGTCTAAAGTTCATTTTCATAATTTTGGAATATCAATTTAAATTTATTACATGTTTTGTAGAACCATAAATCTAAAATACTAATCCATAAATTAAGGGAAATTAGGAAAATAGAAATGTTAATTAATTAAAAACATAAATATTAGTTTGAAATCGCTTTTGTACTTAAAGAAATCAATTTTCCTGATCTATTATATTATTTATAGTTTATGAGAGAGAAATGAAATTGAAAATGAACAATTTCTAATATAATAATTATTGTTTAAATTATAAACAATTTTTGATATAACTGCATCTAAAAATTTACCATTTAGTAAAGCTATTATTATAGATTAATCCCGTATAGGATTTAATAATTCATTATTAAATCTTGTAAAATAAATTTTTAAAATGTTATGATGCACATTTCAATAAGAAATTCAATTTTCAGAAATGTGTTTGAATGTAATTATTAGAGTAATTTTCTATTTTTGATTGGCTCTAAATTTATATGAAATTTTGTTTATAATTATTTTCTCTTGAACTTTATTTATGAAAAATGATGGAACTTATGGTCATTAAGAGTTGGGAATAATTATGAAGATGAATTTTTAATTTTAGTAACTTCCAGAGATGGATTAGATTTTAGTTTTGATTATAATATAATTAATTTATAAAATGAGACCAAAAGAGTCAGATGTGTATAAGAGGATTCGTTTGTTAGGATAAGGATCGTTTGGGAAGGCTTATCTTTGTGAATGTTTGAAAGATCACTCTTTGTGCGTGATTAAGCAAATGGACATGAGATACTTAAACGATTAAGAGAAAAAAGTAATTTATTTAGCTAAATAAAACAGGAAACATACAGAGAATTCAGAATAATGTCTGAATTGAAGCATCCAAATATAATAAATTTTAGAGAGGTTTATAAGACAGTAAAGGGGAAATTATGTATAGTGATGGATTATGCTGAAGGTAATCATCTACGAATTAAGAATAGGTGGTGATTTGGCTTAGGTCTTAAAGAATACAGATGGTTATGTAGCCGAGTCTAGGATTTTGGACTGGTTTACTTAAATGTGTCTAGCAATAAAACATTGTCATGATCGTAAAATAATTCATCGAGACATAAAAACTTAAAATATGTTCCTGACAAAAGACATGAGAATACGATTGGGAGATTTTGGAATAGCTCGATTATTGAACAACACAAGAGACAAAGCAAAAACAATGGTGGGTACTCCTTATTACTTGGCTCCTGAATTGTTGGAAAACAAGCCATATAGTTTTAAGGGGGACATATGGTCACTTGGAGTAATTCTCTATGAAGTAATGGAATGAGTATTACAAATTAGATGTGTGCCAAGACTCCGCCCTTTACTGCTGAATCGCTGGCCTAATTAGCTCTAAAAATAGTGCGTGGTCAATTTTAAGCCATTCCAAACATTTACTCCTCCCAATTGAGAACGTAAAACTAATCTTATAATTAAACAAAGATAGCCTTGTGAATTAGCTTCTTACAGTAAATCCTGAAAAACGACCAGCAGTTCATTAAATTCTCAAGATGCCCATTATCACAAATCGAATTAAGAATTTCCTATCAGAGACTATGAAAAGAAGTGAATTCGATCATACAATATTACACAACCAGCAGATTCATTTGTCTGATACAACTATCCCCTTGATTGATGATCAGGATGCAAAAGGGGATGTAACAGAGCAAACCTCAAAAGAGAATCACATGAAGTAATTGCCTGGAATTAGGAGTCCTCCTATTAATTTATAGAAACAAAGAAAGAATAGTGATCTAAAGAAATTGCCTGAAATTAAATTATCCAAACCTGAGAGACCACCAATTACAAGGTAACAAACCAGTAGACAATAACTAAATCAACTTCCAAATTAAAGAGCTTTGCCATCCACTCCAGAATTAGGCATCCACAGTAAACAAAAAAATGGTCGCTTTATTACTAAAGAAAGTCCAGATTCTTATTAGGGTTCTGATTAAGTGATAGAGGACGGAACCAAAAACAGTGAGCAAGAGAGTCCCAAATTCTTTAAGAAACATTTTGAGATTAAACCTCATATCAAAAATTTAAAGGGTCTAACCAAATTAGATTAAATTCAGAAGATCAAATTGGGATTGAAATCAGAGGATGACTGCAAAAAACCTATTTATAGAGTTCATGCATAACCTAAAATGTTTGAATAGAAGAAATAGTAGGAACGCAAGGTTTCTGAAGAAATTGTTTCGAGTCACAAAAAACAAGAGGAACAAATATTAAATTAATAGAGTCATTTAGAAAAAATCTCGGAAACTCCAGAATAAAAATTACTAAATTAATCAACCATTAGTGATTTTCAAAATTCAGAAGAAAACTAGGATAATCACAAAAAATAAAGTATTCTTACACCTGCTTTTGAAATTCATAAGGAATAATAATTTCAAGTACTTGATATTATTTAAAAGAAACCAGTGAAAATAATTAAAGAGTCAATATCTAAAACTGATGAAGAGAAAAATAAGAAAAAGATTTACAAAATCATTTATAAAGATCCTTTTTAAAAAAAGCCTGCCCAGAAACGTAATAGTGAAGAAGACATGAAAGAAATGATAAATGAACTGAAAAATGTTCTTGTAATTAAATTAAATATATCAATTAGTCTGATTAATAAAAAAAATTAGAAGAGCCAAATCTACAAAATGAAATTGATTCTGAAGATTCTAGAATCTATTCAGAGGAATCAAGTGAAGATCTTAGAGATGATGCTGATACCTTACCACCATAAACATAAGTTAATACGTGGATGTAAAGTAATTCAGAGGCAGTCAATATATCCAAATCATAGCCAGAACCAAGAAGAAAAATTAACAGCAATTAAACAAGTCTCAAAGATAAATTGGTTGTTGAATTGGGACAAAATTTTGAATAATTGTTTAGATTAGCTAAATTATGTTCGCATTAAGAGGACTTGGGAAAATAACATATCAAAATGGCTATTATGGATAATCTTAGAATAGATGAAAATAGGGCAGAGATCTGTGCCACTCTCTTGGTTACATTAGCCACAATTGGTTACTGATATTTTTGAACTATGCATAGTTTTTCAAGTTTTGATTTAATTTTGATTCTTCAAAGGAGAGATTATTCTACTTTCTAATTATTAAGAACTATATATATTTTAATAAATAAAATAGAAGCGAAATAATAATCATGATTGACAAAGACTTTATGCAAGATTTAGAGGAAGAGGAGGAACAACAAATTGCAGAGGCAAAATAATAGGTTGAGGATGAACCCACTTGTTCTTTACTTAAAGATAACAAATTTCTTCAGCATTATCAAAGAGTTTTAGAAGTATCTGCTTATCAAATCTAAGATGAAACTATAGATGCCAGTCATGAAGAATATCATCTAATTTTAAGGTCAAATGAATACAGTACAATCATTGATTAGGAGTATTCATTTTGAATAACATAAGGATTTTAAATATTCATAAATAATTGAAGGATGTATACCATAAGAAGTTTCCTGAATTGGAAAAAATAATCATAAATCCTATTGAGTACGTTAAGATTGTCAGATTAATTCGAAATGCTATAGATCTTCAATCAATAGATTTTTCATAACTTTTAAGTGGCTAACAAGTAGTTGCTGTCAATATAGCAGCTAAACAATCCTTAATTGGCTAACTATCAGAGGAAGACATCTCCTTGGTTGATTAGTTGTGCCATAAGATCGAGACATTGGATGGCTACAATTAGAAAAGTACAACTTATATACAACTATTAGTCATATGCTATATTGAATCTAGAATGAAGTACATAGCTCCAAATGTTTCAGCCTTAATAGGTACACAATTGGCATCTAAGTTGATGGCAGCTGCAGGAGGTATTGAAAAGCTTGCCAATATGCCAGCAGGCAATATTTAAGTGATGGGAAGTGTTAAGAAGAATATGTTGGGAATGAGTAGAGCCATGCATAATAGAAACACTGGGTATTTTGGAACATTGGAAATTGTACAGAAAGCATCAGGGAAATTGTAAAATCAAATAGTAAGGATGTTAGCAACAAATGTGGCCAAAGCAGCCAGAGTTGATAATATGAAGACTTGTCCCAAAGGGAATGTAGGAGAGGATCTAAGAACGAAGATGATGAAGAGATATTAGAAGATTTAAGAACCTCCTCCTGCTAAATTAGAAAAGCCATTGCCAATCCCAGATGAGAACAAGAAGAGAAGAAGAGGAGGAAAGAGGTTCAGAAAATAGAAAGAAAGATTGGCTATGACAGAAGTGAGGAAATACGCTAATAGGTTGAAATTTGGATTGGAGGCTGAGGATGAAATCAAGGATACAGGGATTGGATTGGGAATGTTAAGTCAAGGTATTGGTAAAGTAAAGTTACACATCAAGAAGGATAAACCAATAGGTCTCAGTAAGAAATTACAATAGAGACTTGCACAAACGAAGACTCAATCTGGGGGTGGCACTGGTGGATTAACTTCAAGCATTGCTTTTACACCCACTTAAGGAATTGAATTAATAAACCCAGAACCTGGATACTTATCAAAGGTTCCCGATTAATATTTTAATAGAGAGTCTGGGTTTAGAACTGTATTAAAAAAGGAAAGAGAATTTGGAAGATAGCATTGATTAATCTATTTAGTTTAATTTTTAAACACATAAATATATTAATGAAATTTAATTATAGTTTTTAACATTATATACTTAAATAGGTTTGTTTTATTCTCTTAAAGATTGAAAGTGCATAAAGAAAGTAAGTGTACAAGTTATAATGAGTATGATATATTGAGAGTTGCTGAAATTTTTGAAGTTTAGTTCCAAAAAGAGGGAATAGGTTATTTGCATTATAATAATTATTAATTTAAATATGATATAAAGTTCCACTCGTAACCGTTCTGAGCAACTAATCTATTAACGCAGACAACAAGAATAATAAGTGGGCAAGTTAAGCACTAAGCTAAGACAGGAGCATTATGAGAAAACCTTTGCGGCGTGGGAAAATAAGGGAAAGGATATTGCCAATATGTAATACACAAAGAATAGGTTCGCAAAATATTATATTAAAAGACTGCAATAGATTAGAGCTGAGGCGGAAGCACACAAAAGTTAAAGGAAAGAAAAATTGGCTGCTTTGTTAAATGCTGAACATGACTCATATCAACAAGAAATCAAAGCCATGGTGGAGACTCCAGAATAGGTTAAGGAGAGAATGATGAAAGAAGTTGCAGAATTGAAACAAAGAAAGGAGATTGAGAGATCTAAGTAGGCAGAAGCAGCATATGAACGAAGATTTAGAGATAATGCTGATGAACTCAGATTGGTAAACTAGCAATTTAATGAATAATAAGCTGTCGCTTACAGAAACATGTAAATGATGGAAAAATAGAAAATGTTAGAAGATTAATATGAAGGTATTATCCATTTACTATCTGAAACTAGAGGAAATGATTTATGCTGAATTATACAGAAGAGAAATCGTGAAGAAGGAAAGATTGGAAAAGGAAAAAGAGATCTAATAGAAAGCCAAAGTAGATGAAAGAAACAAAGTGTTAGGTATTCAGGCATCAATGAATGTTAATAAGTTTTAAAGAATCAAAGAAGAAATCGAATAAGAGAAATAGATGCTTGTAAGATAATGAGATTTTAACATTTTAGAGAGAAGAATGGAAAAGAGAAGAGGAGAGACATAAATAAAGAGAACTTTAATATTTGAATTATAAAAAGGAAATCAATTAAGAAATTGCGTTAAATAATGAATAATAAAAAGAATATAAAAAATAAATAAAGTAAGAAGAGAGGAAATAAGACAAAGAAATGATCTAGCAAGTTTTAGAGAGAGAGGAAGCTATTGCTAGAATGGAATAGGCTGAAAAACTCAGATAAAAAGAAGAAACTAGATAATTTTTACTGAATTTTAAAAACAGAACTAATGAATATAGTGTAAATGATTAACTGAAGGAAAGATTGATCAATGAGGAGAATACTCGTTAATGGGAAACCAAGGAGGCTAAATGGAAGGCTGAAGATGTAATCATGCAAATAATTTTAGGATGCTAGAGTTAAATTAATGTATGAAGTTTATGCTTAACGAGCAGAAAATGTCGAATTGAAGAAGAAAATAATATAAGATGAAAAAAATATTAAGTAGTAAGATAAGGTGGAATTATTACGATAGTTGGATTTATATTAGAAAGAACTAGAGGAAAAGTAAAGAATAGAATAAGAAGTATTATATCAAATTAATTGAAGAAAATAATGTAAACAAAGCACAATTTGTTAAATCAAATGGATGAGAAGAAACAAAGACAACAACTGTTAAGGGATAAAAAACAGCAGGAGGAGGAAGATCTTCGAAGACAAAAGGAGGAATATGATAAAAAAATAGAAATGGAAAAAGCTAAAGGGCGTGCTTTGCTAGATGAACTTAGAAAATAAAGACCTTATTGAAATATTATAATCAATTCAAGTATATTATTCTAAGAGTCTTTTCTCGATAGTTCGATAATATTATTTCTTTAACAGTTTTAATTCAGCCTATTGGGTTTTCTTATCATTCTTTTTGCATTAGACTATAGCTATGGCTGCTAGCTTATTATAGTAATCGATCTTATCCAATTTGTGTTGCATTGGCAGTTAATATAAAAAATTGATTAAATTAAATTATTTAATTATTGGATATGTCAACTCCTCAAACAAAATCAAAATTGGTTCAAACTTTTGGTAGAAAGAAGAATGCTGTTGCCAGTGCAAGTGTGAGAGAAGGAAAGGGTACTCGATACATGTAATCCAAGGTTTGGTTAGAGTGAATGGTGCTCCAATTGAATTAGTGAACCCAGCTCCCTTGAGACAAAAGGCTCTTGAACCACTTTTGCTTCTTGGTTAAGTCAGAACAGGTAGATTAGACATCAGAGTCACTGTCAGAGGTGGTGGAAGCACTGCATAAATTTATGCCATCAGATAGGTAGAATGGCATTGATATATTGTATAGGCTATTAGCAAAGGCATCGTGGCATACTATTAAAAATATGTAGATGAAACCTAAAAGAGAGAAATCAAAGATCTTTTATTACAATATGATAGAACTCTCTTAGTTGCTGATCCAAGAAGATGCGAACCAAGAAAGTTTGGTGGTAAAGGTGCCAGAGCCAGAAGACAAAAGAGTTATAGATGAAAATTTAATCACAGTACATTAAAAATAATATTAAATAATTAATGGAATTTTAGTGTTGCTAATGCTAGACAGAATTCAATTCGGCAAGTAATTCTCCATATGTCTTGCCAAGTTGTGGACATTCAGTTTGTTATAAATGCGTTGAATAATATATATCTGGCGGTCAATAGTTAAGATGCAAAGAGGATGGGTATCTATGCAAATTATTCAAGAATTGAATGTAATGTTCATAGAGATCAAAAATGTTTCCCCTAAAATTAAAGTATTCTCACCATGCTTAAAAAGCGTTAATCGTCAGCAAAGACTTTAATAAAATATCAAACTCTAGATGATCAACATTCTCAAAATTCTACTAAAGAAATGGCAGAGCATTTTTCTGAAAAATCTACCTCTTAATTTGTATCTATAGAAGCTCCTCCAAAGACATCCATATGCTAATTACATTAGAAAGAACTGGAACTGATATGTCAGGAGGATGGATAATGCATTTGTGTTAATTGTGCTTTATTTGGACCTCATAAATTCCATAATTATCTACCTATCGACTAGTTCTTGAAACAAATAGAGCTGACTATCAATGAGATATCATGTTTATATAAATAGATTCAAAATGAAAGAAATAATAAAGAATAACTTGAATAATTGCTATCATTAGGATTTCATTAACAATTGTGTTGCATAAAGTCAAAGATTGATTTATACTTCAGTGATTTGAACAAATAAATAGATGAAATCAAGATGCAAACTCTTTATAAAATCAATTAGGCATATGAGAATTCATAAGAAATTATCCTTAATAAAATAGATGGCGAGTTTTCACTTCTCTAAATTGAAGCAGACTAATGGCTCAATCAAGCTAGTTATCAATTAAATCAATTGGTAGAGGAGTCATAATAGTTGAAATTTAGGAAATTTGATTAAATCATAATAAACTCTGGATAAACTATTTTGAAGCAATTTAATTTAACCAAAGAATCGATTACGATATTAATTGACTCTACTCAAAAATCTCATGAGATATAAATTCCCATATAAGTAATCACTAATTACATTTCCCAATTAATGGGACTAAATACCAATAAATATGAAACTAACAAGTAAGATACTGTGCTCCTCTTGCCATCTAATCTTTCTGATTAAAGTTAATCTAACGAGTAATCGGATTTCCTATTACCAGATAGATAACCTACAGAAGAAGCAATCAAAGTCATAGAAAAAAAACCTTTGAAAATAGATGTTGGAAAAGTTAAAAGGTACTCAGGAGTTTTTTCGCCATCTTAATACCCTACTTAGCCAACATCACCTGCGTATGATGTAGCGAAATAGATAAACTTCAATTCTGGTTAATCATAATTCTCTAAATAAAAAGATAGAAGTGCCACATTGTCAAATTGCGAACTCCTTGAGACTTCATAGATATTAGTATAAAAGTAGTCAAAATTTAGCAATAATATCTAAAATAGCAATTAAAAATAGCCTAAAAAATTTACTAATAACCAAAAAATGAATGAAAAACTATCTCAAACACTAACTGTAATTCATTAAGACAAAAATGAAATAATAGATTTAAGTTAAATAGGTATATTATATATTAGAATTTAGATTTTAATGATTAAATTATTTAGATCGTCGGAGAATATTTAAAAGGAACTCAAAATATAAAGGTTTTGAAATTAAGCAAATGCTTAATAGTTGATGATTTATTCCATAAATTAATCCTAAATTTAGCAGAATCCAAGTAAATATTCCATAAAACTCTAGAATTCATACTCTGCATCTTCAGTAAAATTTATTAACAGAAAAGTCACTTGATCACATTTTAGCATTTTTTAAATAACATCCTGAGGCATAATTGAGATTATTATATATGAACTAAAATTCTATAATAGCATCTAAAGGGAAGAAAAAAATGGATGAACTTAAAAAATATGGTGTCCAAATTTCATTATGATTTTAATTAGTTTTTATAATATTGATATCCTTTAACATTTTGTTATTATCATAATTAGAAATATTTTAAGTGATTAGATTGAATTCTCAGCTTAAGTACCTTTAAAATTACGATTTTAAAGGAAAAATAGTTTACCTTAAAATTATCGAATTAAGAATTTTAATTATAAGAAATTAGAAAATATTTTTGATTAAGAAGAAGTTATTATTTAAATTATTTATTTAATATTCTTTAAAATAACTGCAAAAATATAAAGTTTTTTACATTTCTGTTAATAATAATAGCAAGTAACCACATATTCTTTAAAATATGTTAGTTAATATTGTTTTCTAGGTTTATATAATAAGGGTAAATTCTTGAAGTGACTAAGGTAAGTTAGAAAATTCGAATAGTTTAAGAACTTAAACTATTGATAAAAAGAGAAATTTATTAGAAGCAAAACATAATAATAGTGAGAGGACAAACTTTAGAATGATTACTTGAGAAAGAGATCTCAATGTAAACAGAACCAATGCTAATAAGTTCTTTGATATAATTATCATTAATTAGATCATTCCCAGTCATTTTTCTAAGCACTAAACATTAAATGTTTATTTGGACTCTTAGTTCTATTAATTGTGAATATAAATTTTACCTATCTGGAGCTGGAAGCATTCTAATTGGGCATTCAGGCTTTTTATAAGTACTGTCATCTAGTCGCTAGTAATCTTTTTGGTAGGATGATAGCTTTTCCATGTTAACTCCTCCAAAGGGAGATTAATTATGATGTTTAATTGGAGCAGGTCTGTTTCCTTTTTGAGCTGTATAATCTTCTTAATATTTCGAATTAGAATTAAATTAAATTTTAGTAGGGGTGAAGGAACTGTCGTGCTATTTAATTTAATGTTAATTTGATATTGGTTGTACTCTAAAATTTTCGCTATATGTAGTACTAGCTTAAATTTTATTTGGGTTTTCTTAATAAAAATACTTAGGCTTGAGTGACATTGGTAATGTTTGATATGGTTGGTACCTTTAATTATATTCGGTTGAGGAGACGAAGGGTCTGTGATAGGGTATCGTTGTTTCTTGGGTTATTCTGGTTTGTCTTTCTGGAGTCTTTTGAGGAGTATAATCTCTTTAATAAGATGAAACAAATGATTGGGTTCCATAATTGATCCTATACTATTCAGGGACGATGGGAGCGGTTTTCTTGACATCCCACTTTACATAGGACTTCCGATTTGTAGTATCGAAATGTGATGGATTCACATGTAATTGTTGGGGAGGACATTTGTCTTTTCCACATGTACAAATCTAGCATACGCATTTCCCATTGTATTGGGATAACTTGGATCCTGATTTATCTGGTGTCTTAAAACCATTGTTAGGAGACTTATTCATTCAATAAATTTTATTTATTATTAAAAATTGCAGTAAAAATGTTCCGCCAAAGTCCATACTACTATGAAGTGAGACAGGAAGTTTTTAAGGAAATAAACAATGACTTAGCTAAGGAACTATCATTAATGAAGATATCTGACTAGCGATTAGATTAAACAGTCCCAATAACAAAAAAAAGTGTTTCGAAACAAGAATTCATTAGTTATTGTATTTCTTATCAATAATGATCAAGTTTATAAAAAACAGAAGTAGAATGAATAGGTTATGGAGACTGAAGAAGAAACCAATTTAGTTTGCAAGAATTGTGATACTAAACCATTGAATGCAAATACAATATGTGTCGAATGTTCTCGATTGGCATGTCAGAGATGCATATATTAATGTTATTATTGTGGATAGTACTGTTGTTCATTTTGTTGCATAAAAATATATCTACATAATGGAGATTTTGTTTCTTGCTTACATTGTAGTTAGAATTAATGAATAATTATTTTATATATATGCTTTTAAATTAAGGCGCTCAAAGTTATTCTAAATCTAATTATTTCTTATTTATTAAATTATAAATCTTCATAATAGCCATTTTGCTATCACCATCTTGCCAAAACAAGTGAATGTAGCAAATCCATAAGAATAGTGTACGATTCCAAAGGATGTTAATAAATTGACAAAGTTGATCAGAATTTTGATTGTTTTAATTATATAAGTAATTAATTTTTGATATTATCAAAGAAAATGAGATTTAAACATTGGAAATTTATTAACATTTATTCCATTTAATAAACTTTAACTTAACTCACATTATTAATAATTGATATTTGTTCTTTCTAAAATTCTTATTGGAAAAGAGGTTGATGCTCGAGAGAAACATGAAATTATTATGTATGATACATCAATTTTAAAGAATTATTATATGAAATTACTGTAGTAATTAATATTTATTAAAAATCAACAATGCTAGCAAAGTCCCAATAATGTATTTATCCGATGAATATTTAGTTTTTAGACAAATTGATCTGTTCGGATAAAATATTTCCTTGAATTTAAATGGAGATGATCAATACAAAACAGGCGGAGGAGGTTTTTTATCCTGCTTGATTGTGGCCATCGTTGCGATATTTTTTTAATCAAACATCATAGATTTCTTAGGAAAAACTAATATCTAAGCAGATACTTAGACAGTATTCGAAGAAAACCCTGATAGGATCAAATTTACCTCAGATAATTTTATGTTTGCTGTTTCAATCGAATAAAGTACAGCTTTCAATACAAATCCATTTTTTAACATTACAATAAAAGCAAGGTAATTTCATTTAACAAATTAAGAACATATGTAAGATTGAGTAATGGAACAACAATTAAATACGAAAATCTAACTAATCTGATTCCATGTACCCTAGATAGATTTCAAAAAATATTCGATAAATATGATCTTAATTTTACAGATCAATACAACCAATTAGGATTGTCCACATGGCTCTGTCCTGAGTAATACCTTCATATAATATATAGTCTTAACTACTCTTTAACAGTTGGCGGAAGATATTCAAGTGAGTATTTAGATTTTGCTAAAATTGAAATATCCGATTGCAAAAACGATACATCGAAAAATGCCAATCTTACTTGGCATCCAACTTGTGCATCCAAAGAAGTTATGGACAAATGGTTATCGAGTGAAGGTTCTTACAGAATAAGAATGTATTTCAATTATTTTCACGTAGATATATGACCAATACAGTTGTGAATCCATCAAAACCAACGGATTACATTTAAGGCTATTTGGATGATGAAGTCTATTTTTAATTTGTTCCTTTTAAATTGTCTCGGTAATCAGATATATTTTTTAAAAAATACCAAATAAACACTGATTAAAGTTTAGTTCCAGTATTTGATGATGAATAAGTTGAAAATGTATTTATGAAAGAACCAGCAGATTTTAGAGATATAACCACTCTGGGATCAGCAACAGACAAATAATATATAGCTTTGTATTTTCGAAGAAGTCCTTACACAAAATATATCACAAGATAATTCTAAAAAGTTGATGACTTGTTGTCATACTTAGGAGGATTTGTGAATATAGTTGTTGTGTTTTTAGGCTTCTTTGTTGCATTCTATAACAAATAACAATGTAAATACTTATTTTTAAATATTTAACAGATCTAATAGAACTTGCAAATAAAGTGTATGACTTCAATTTTGATAATACTAAAAATTCTTAAAAGATTCGGAATGATGACTTGGTTAAGAAAATCACTTAGATCAAGAAAAAGACACAAACGCCTAAACTATTAGAGATACAAGATTCAAATTTGCCCAATAAAAAATCTCTTACTCAACCTTTACAAGACGACGAGATTCGAATACAAGTAGTGAATGAAGAGACTCCCCATAATACGACAAATTAGAAGCAAATGATCAAAAATACGTCATCAGAAATCAAATCCGAATTTCAAAGGCAATAAGAGGAAATCGTATCCAAACTTGGCTTTAAGAGTCGTAAAGAATACTTAACATCTCAAATATCTTAAGTTCTTACTAGAGCACAACCCATTCAGTTTACTTTCAAATTCCTGTGCCATCAAATAACAGGAGGAAGATGTTTTAAAGACAAAACGTCCATACTTCTCATGAAGGCAGTGTAAGTTTACTTATTTAATTAATAGAGATAGGATTAATTCTGATATTGATATCTATGTAATTTTGGAAAAGGTTAAGGAAATCAATCTATTAAAAGACTTAATTTTAGATAAAAATTAGTAAATTCTATTCAATTTTGCCCCCAAACAGATAATTACTCTCAATGAATAGAAAAAACTACCAAGTAGAGTTGAAGTCTATACGTAACTTAATTCATTTAATTGTTAGATAAAAATTGACAGAAAATTCGAATTCCTCTATGTCAGTTGGTCAAGTTGCTTAATTGGCCATGAAACAATACTCTGAGGCTAAAAAGGCAAACCTTCCTGCTTCTATCAAAGCGTATCAAAAACTCTACAAAGTATATAGATGTTATTGAGTTAGGCTTATGATAAAGTGAATGATCCTCAGAAGGAATTGGGGAGAATGAATGAAATACTTATTGAAAAGTTAGGGAAGGAAATACGGGATATTTTCGAAGTTTCTTAATTTATAGACTTCGATCTCGTGGAATAAAAACTGAGTCACAGAATTAAATATATTCTTAGAAGAAAGGTAAAATAGATGAGACAGAGCAAATCAAGATCTTAACTGAAAAAAGAGTTTGATGATGAATCCTCAGAGAATTTTGGGCTTTTTAGTTAAGAGAGAAATAATAAAGCGGATAATAGTGGAATTTTGCAAAGAGAAATATTATTTCCTCATAGAAATTTTTGAATTACTGAGATAACATTGCAAATTAATGCATAATTATAAATATTTGATTATTTGACTATTCTTCAAATCAATTCGACTGAGTCCAAAATGACTTTGCTTTCTTTATTAGCCACACTAAGGAAATGACTTAAATCACTTACATATGCTTTTGCCATTCTCGACACGTCTTTTTGAATGACAATATAACCTATTTTTAATTTTAATCACTTTACTTTATGTTGGAATATTGTTTTCGACATATTCAACAGCTTATCTTCCCTTAAGAGTTCTGCTCAAAGCTTGCTTAGCACAATACCAATTAATATCGTGAATCTCGGCTCCAGCCAAATTCATTGCCCAAGTTTATTTATTTTCTTATTTTAATCTAATGCGTACATCTAACTGGATAGGCTTTGAAAATTCTTTAATAGTATGGGACTGGCCATTAGGATGTTGACATAACTCTATCGACGATGGGTCTTTCATGTATAGGTCCCCACAAGGCTCCAGAAAAGCAGGCCACTGATTTATTGTGTGTGAGACGAATCATTTTAATTATTTTTAATATACATATATATAAATTATATGAAGCTTCAGAATTTTTCATTGGTCTTATTATCAAAATAGGAATTATAATCAAGCCTTGTTAGCAATTAAAATAGAGCAGTTTAATTAGTACTTTTGGTCAACAACTAGATCAGATTGAATAGAGCAATAAATTAAGTATCAAATTCTACCATCAGTTTGTAACATTCTTTATTTATTAAAGAGTGATGCTACAATTCAATTCTATTAACTAACTCAATGTATTTGTGCACAAATTTGATTATTTGAAAAATGTTCTTGACAATCTATTACAGATTGAGAAATAGTTAATTAGAAACAGATTATTCAAATTCATCCATAATTTTTCTCATCAATTCAAAGTTGATTTCATTTTGCATCCTTGATATCATTTTAGACCATTAAACAGCTATGATATCCATCTAAAAGTAATGATAAAAGGCATTGACAACATGCATCAATTAGGTATGCATTCCCAATATGTATTTGCAATCCTTTTTTTTGAATTTTTTTGTGAGTTTAATCCACACCTATTGCAATTCAAATTAAGCGTGTCGAATAGGGAATAAATACCTGAAGAATAATTAGAATTTCTCTTATAAGGATGGAGTGATAAGTAGAGACAATGGATAGTCTACTTAATACTTCAATGTTAGACCACTCCAAGAAGCATCATTCAAAAAGTTGCTTCCTATCATCTTCCATGTATATAAATCAACAATTTAACCATATTATTTAATTCCTACCATACATCGTCCTAATTCCAACTAAAAATATTTTTAAAATTTAAAAGCCACCTTTTTCCATTAAGAAGGAGGCAATATGTCAGTCTTACATTATGTATCACTTTAAGTATCATCTATAATTAATGATAATTCATCATTTTAATAATTAATTTTTAAACTATGTAAATCTCCTTCTGAAAAATCTATTTTGTCCAATTTCCATTTGTAAATAATTTCTTCTTTAAATTTAATTTTAGATTCCACTGATAAAGAAGAAACTTTCTATTAATCCAATTTCAATCTAATAAACACTCCATTTTCTTCGTCCTAACAAAATAGCAATACTAAACTTGTACTCAAATCCTATGGAACCTATAGAATTGAATATCCCCCCAATGGCTTTGATAATTATTATTTGAATTTAAAAACAATTTGCAATGTAAATCCATTTTCAATAGATTGTTTGACATCTCTAAAAACTCCACTCCAATCTTCAGGGCCTCGAGCAGGTCCCATTCTCAATATATTAATTGTCTAAATCACATTATTTTTAATCTATAAATTATTTAAGGATTGAAAGGTCTTATATTCAAATCCATTATTGTAAATAAACATTTCCATTTTCTCTGTCTAATCGTAGTCCATCTTGTGAAGATTAAAGTTTAATTCTTATAAGGCTTGTTATGTCTAAGGTAATTGCAGGATTGATTAGCAATCAGATAAGAATTGCTATATAAAGTTGCCATTATTAAGCAGTATAAATAAATAAAAGTTTTTCAAATGAATAAACAATTCTTGTTTATCAACTATGACTTAAACTAATTATTCTCCAACTTGTTTCTGCAATTGATCAATAATTCGGTTAAATGTAAAGGAATCATATACTTCAATTTCTCTTATCAATTATTAATGCTCATTAATGAATAACTCTTGTTGACCTTTCAAAACTTTCACCGCCTTTCCAATGAATAATATTTTATCGGCCATCTGCAATGAAATAAAATGTAATGGTAGCATCTATATATTTAATGTAAATGAAGTATCCCAATTGTATTCATGCTGATCAGTTTTCTTTTTCTCATCGATTCTTTAAATAAAAAATTCATCTGAAGTGTCCAAAATTTAACCATACTACAACCAAGAGGATAATTATTAAAATAGCACTTCGTAACAGGCTGACAAAATGTTTTGATAAATTAGTTAGAGTTTGTCATTTCCTGTCAGTGTTCTTTCATAAAGGTAATCTAGTATTTATCCCCCGCGCATATTGTGTTACTGTATTATGTTGATGGATGTGTGCAAATTCAATAGAATTTAATAATATGCTTATAGTCTGACATTTAGTTAGGATACTATGAACATTTTTTCATTCAGATACTCTTATTCCAAAGTCAATATTGTTTATCTATAATCATTCAAACTGTTGTCTATTCCAAACACCAAAGCCTAGGATATTTATTTATGGTTTTACTTTAATGTAGCTGCTTTTCTCTTCTTGATTTTACAAGAAATTGTCTATTTGCTAATAATGATATCCCAAATTCACAATTTGATTCAATTAAACTATTTCGGGTTTTGAAAAAAGATTCAAAGATTCATCAATATAAAAGGGCGAGTTATCAAATTATTTGACAAATGAGCCTGGTTTACCTAACAACGAAAATAATAAGTCGTGTAGCATAATTTAATTTTCAATTTTAATAATTTATTGATAATCAATATATATTAGATTAGGATGTGCTATATTAATATATAAAATTCATCAAATAAGGGATATAAATTTGAATTTATTAGCAATTTCAAGAAAATCAATGCTTTTTAGAGATTCAAATTTTATAATTCTTATTTTGTTTTGTTTATATATTTATAATCAATCTAAAATAAAATTATGCTATCAGAATTTAAGTAATTTTTGTGTTTGTACTATTTGTAAAAGTTTAGATTAATATTTTAAATAATGAGTGTTTGTAACAAAAATTACTTATAGGAAACCTTCCCTCAATATGTTCATGATTAACTAAATAAGGTAGCTGAAGAAAACGTAAACACGGATAAGTAGATTTGATATCTTAATAGAGATCATAGAGAATTTTCAAAATTATTGACAATTTGAGTGAACTTAAGATTTTATCCTTTGGTTTAGCCTCTAAGTTAAAAACCTAGGAAGGGTTTATGCTATTTCCAGAAATAATTTCTGAAAAGTACATTATTGAATTTAAAGAAATCAAATCGTGCAATTTGAGAAAAAATGAATCCTCTTATTTTTAAGCTTGGGCATTTGCTAATTTAGACCTAGTACTTAGTCAATATTTAATTAGATCGATATGTATAAACTACAAACATTTTTGCGCATTTTATGTATTTTAGCGTATTTTGAGTGCAAAAAATATTTTGAAGTATTACAAATAGATTACAAGTCTAAATATGAGACAGATCTTTTTAAAGTGTTTCTATTGTTATAAACCCAAAAACAAGAGTATTAGATTGAAGCAGACAGTTTCTTTCTTCAATTGATTGAGAAGTGTGAATGTAAAAACAACCAATTCATTTCATATATGTCCAAATTCTGCAAAGAGAAGAATATGCTAAAATGCTTGGGATACTTGGAATCTATAAAATCAACAAACAAGGTTTCGTCAGAGAAACGCAAGGGATTTCAAAAATTTAAGGAGCAGGATTAATTGAAGAAAGAGTCACTGCAAGAGTCACAATAGGTCTCTCAATAAATATTGATCTAAACATAGAATCCAACTTAAATCATAAGGAGACAGTCATCAATATTCCCTAGAAAATCACTAGATTAACAATCTTAAATGATTTAATTTTAGGAGTCAACAAAAGACTTGATTAAACCAACTGGAATGAATCGACCCTCATTAACAATGAGAACCATAAAGGATGGAATAAATCATAAATATAAGGTAATTGAGTGTTATTTATGTGAGTGAAGCGTGAAAATGACAATAGACAATAAAGATATTTGTAGAGTGAAACCAATTAACAAAGATAATTTCATGAAGAGGTCTGTCGAAAATTGGAGAAAGTGCAAAGGAGGAGGATTACGTGTTGGAATTCTGATTGTTTGGCTCCTGAAACTCCTGAAATTTACAGTGATTGATTGTTTGGGATTGATAATTATATAAAGTCGTTTTTATTTAATTAATATTAAAATCATGAAATCCTTAATCTTGATTGCCCTCATTGCTGTAGCCTTTACAGCCCGAGTTTAAGAGAGAAACATGGCTAAAGTCTAGGCTGATTTAGCTAAAAGCACATACGGAAAGGCATTACTTCATTTGGTTGAGTTACACTCAATGGCAGGTGGACCAGTCTAAGAGTTAATCGATGCTATCGAAGAACTCATAAATGACTTAGAGGAGGAATTGGAAACATTAGAATTCAATTTCTAAGTGAGAACAAACGAACATAATGCACTTGTTGTCTCTCTTGAGTAAGACATCCAAGATGCAGTTATTGGTATTTCGAAAATCTATGTATAGACGTCAACAACACATAAGACACTCTTGATAATTTACTTTACCCAAGAAGAAATCAAATCTAAAGCAAAATTGATACCGTTATTGGATACTAAGAGGAAAACAGAAAGAACTATGATGAAGCAGTCCTTGTAAGAGAATAAGAGCATGAAGCATTCGAAGCCTAAGTTGCTGAATTAAACGATGCAACAGCTTCAGTTGACGATGCCCTTGCCCTTCTTGCCTCATTGACCAATCCATCATTATTGTAAATCAAGAGATTCTAAAATACTTTGAAAAACATTGAAAATAAATTGAGATCAAGATCCAGAATGGCTCCCATGATCAAGGCTCTCATCAGCTTAGCTTCCAACCAAAACTTTTCAAATCAAGATGTCTTGAAATCTATTGTCGATGCTCTTAATGACTTCAGAAACGCTGTTGTTGATTAAATCAACGATTTAACAGCCTAAGAAGCTCAAGATGTCCTTGACCATGAAGCTTACCTTGAGTAATTGGATGACGAATTCGCAGACTTCGGAAGACAAATTGACAGAGCAACCGTAGATTTGACTGCTACCAATGGTACTAAATATCAAATAGCTTTTAGAAAAGATCGACTCAATGGTTGAATTCAGAGACTAAAGAGCTGCTGATTAAAAGCAATACACTGCTGAATTAGAATTGGAAAACAACACCTATGCTGAAGAAACTGATATTTACACCAATACCAAGAATGAATTCACCAGAGAATTGGGAGTCAGTGAATAAGCTTTATCCCTCGTTTAAAGTGTTGATTTCTCAAACATCAAGGTTTGATATTAATAAAATATACACATAAATTATTACAATCATATTCAAATTAATTGTATACTGTCATTTATAAAGTATAAATATATTTTATGGATTGATATGTAGTGGTTATCAATATCAGCACTATTCTTTTTTAATTATTTCTTAGTATTAAGATTGAATTACAAATTGATTATACATCTAATGAGCAGATCAAGTCTTATTTGAGTGATTTAATATAAAGTGAAATATAATAATTTAAAGTAGAAGATATAAAATAAATGGCTTAAACTAAAGGTAGACTGAGTTTTCATTAAAAATGTTTCATATCTTTCATTTTTCTGTCTTTCTTTAGATTTTATTCAGGATCAAATATTTATTATTATTTTATCCTTCCTTTGTCATTTTTTTATTATACTGGAATAACATTTTCAGAATTTCATTATATTATCTGAAGAAAGCTGGAAATTAAATTTTACTTCTCTAAAAACTATTTGTTGTTGATATAGTATTCCTTTAAGCCTTGATATAGCCTTGATACATATATCTCATTTTAATATTTTGACGATGCTATCTAAATTAGTGAATGAGTTAATTCTATTTGCAGTGTTAAATGCTTGTTATAATGCAGAGAGCAGGTTTCAACAATATTTTAATCTAATTATTTGGAGGAATTATGGGATTGATCAAATTACTTATTGAGAGTAGAGTCAAACATCAACTATTCCTCTGAATTAATATTACTTAGGCCTGATGTTCATTAAGCAATTATTTATAAATATGAATGCATTAATAAGAATAAGTTAAAATGGATCCAGTTAATTCCACTAATAAAGACGATGCATCAGTATAAGCAAGAGCAAGGAGGAGAAGGAATGATCAAAGTAGCAGGGATTACACATGCGGGTGTGGGAAGAGCTATTTGAGTTATCCCGCACTATATACACATTTGAAGTATTGCAACTTGTATATGGAGGCAAAAACATCAAGGAAGTCCTCCTTAAGGTACAACCTAACCTAATAATATGAATCCAAAAGCAAATAGGGGCAGACCTAAGAGAGTATGATTTATTTGTATTTATCCAAGTTGGACGAAAACGACTTGAAGGAAGGAAAATCAGACGACGAAAGATCAATCAGCAATAATGAACCAGATGAAACTATAGAATAAGTCCTCCTCTTTTTAGATAGTGTTGGCAATTTTAGATCTGTAAGGCTTTATTCCAAAAATTCAAGGGCATTAAGTATGAGAAAGAGGAAGAAAAGCAAGTCTATTTATTGAATAGCTTTCCAAAAGATTACTTTATTAATAATCAGGATTATTAGACCATCTATAATTATATCAAGGAAATTACAAATGAAAGAGTAAAATTTGCTGTATAATTTTGAATAGGTAAAAAATCCAGATCAGGATCCTCTGATGAAAGAGGAAATAGATAAAGACAAAAACATCAAGAAAACTTAAATAAGTAAAATATTGGCCTATTTTCTTGTGGCTATTGGGCCTTTATTGAATGAAGATGCTTACAAGGAAGTAAATTTAAATTATCATCAAGATGGCTACCTTCATTGTTTTATTCTCTATTGCACTAAATGAAACGGGTTATCAGGCTCTCTAAAATTATGAATAGGAATAATATCAGCAGGGAGATACTGATAAAAAAACGTAATCACTAGTTAAACAAGGTATGGATACATTTAGTATCAAGACTAAAATATGAATGCAGTATATTGCGAGGAATAAAATGGTGAACACATTTTATTAATAACAAATGAATTTATATTGTCATTTTTGCCTTAGAACTTTCCTAAATTGGGGAATATTGAAAAAACTTTTAGGATATTCGGTAGTCCAGATGAAAAACTAAAAAATGCTGTTTATGTTACTTAACATTTATCTTATTGGTTGTATGCTATGAAATTTACTAACTCAAGATTAGCTCTATACACGGATGATGATTAATGATAAATAATCAAAATTGTTAATTTATAATTTTAAATTTATTAGTTATTTTTTTCATTAACTCTACTTTTTAAGGTATTTTCACTTAAATTAAGTTAATCTTACTTATGTCTTATAATGAATATGATGATATAATAGTACTGAACTCATTCAATTGAGTTTATTTCAAAAATCCAAATAAATTTAAATATTTGATATAATGATATTAAAATTGAGAATGAATCAATTAAAAACACTGAGTAATTCATTGTAATGATAATATTTCACTCTGTCCCCATTTTATAGGCTATCCATTCTCCCAAACTCCTTTTCGAACTTTGTTATTATATGTAAACATTCCTTCTCCATGTTACCTCCCATTTTTCCAACATCCTTTATAAATCCTTCCATCTGACCAATCTAATTCTCCGTATCCATGTCTTTGATCCTTTTCAAACTTAAAATCAAATAATTTACTTACATTTCCTTTATAAGTCTTTCCATCAGGCCAAGTATAAACTCCCTCACCATTCATTTGATTTAACATCCATTCTCCTTTATACTATAAATTAACATTGAACTTACTTTTTTACCATCCTTCCAACAATATTCTCCGTTTCCATGTGGCATACCATCCAGTAATTCTCCTTCATATTTGGAACCATCAGACCATTCAAAGATACCATAACCTGTCTTTTATCCATATTAGTAGGTGCCTTCATACCTTTATCCATTATTCCAATATTCAATTCCTTTCTCAATATCATGTAATTCATTACTCCATGTTATTTATCCTCAACCCAATCGCCATTATAGGTCGTTCCATCAAGAGTTACATACTTTCCTATTCCCCAAGCCTTATCACTTATCCATGAGCCTTCATAACTTAAGTTGGTATTGAAATTATACTAATCTCCATTTGGTAAAACTAATCTTCCAAATCCATGTTATTAATCATTATTCCATTCCCCCTCATAAATTGATCCAAAAGAATAGAGTTGTTTCCCGAATCCATGTCTCCTGCCATCCAACCATTCCCCTTAGTAAATCATTCTTATTACTATGATATATATACCCTTCTTCGATTTAAACTGGACCAACATAAGTAAGAGTTTGATCTTTAACAACTAGAAATGGAAATGGACCTTAAATTGCCCAGAATAAATACCTAAGGAGTTGAATATCTTTATAGCAAGTGAAGTTTATTCATCAAAAATCTATCCTATTAAAGGAATGTATATATACATTAGCATTATGAATCATCACTCCTCTATAACTCTTAATGCTTCCATAGTTCTCATCCTGTGCTAGATTTTAATGCTAAACCATACATCGATTTTCTCTGATCTGATAGGTGAACTTGGAGTTTCATTTGATTCTTTGATTTTAGTTTGTATTCCAACCTCCAAATTTTCATTATTTATGTATATTGGAGCTGTTATTGCAGTAAAAGCATCCTTATCTTGTGTATTGTTTGTACAACAAGTTCCCATCTTAATATTTAATTTATATATATAGTAAAAAATTGACTAAAAGATTTCAATCTTTCGTAAGAATTTTACATGAAGAATGGATATTCAATCTAAGTTAAAATAAGTAAATTTTTAAGAAAATTAAAAGCCTCCAAAAGTTGAATTTCATTGATTAAAAGCATATACTATAATTAAATAAAGAAAACTTGAGAATAACTTTTTTCTTAAATTTTCCCTAATTTCTTGAACCACTCTAATTACTCAAATGTTTCAACGTTAATAGATTAATTAAATAATTTAAAATCAACTGTTTTTATTAATTGAATTTTAAAATATTATTGAAATACATCCTTCAACATTTGACTTCGTTTAACTGTTATTATTTATGTTAATTTTGATATTCATATTACAATACAATTCTTTATAATATTGAATAATTGGAGAAAAAAAATTCAATCAATTTTATCTGTTTGAATTGCCAAATATTATCAAATAAGAATAATTTCATTACATAATGTTATAAATCAACAGGAAATTTAGACTTTTAATCCAAATACTTTAACAAAAAATTTAAAATTTCCTTCAACATTATCCAAATCCAGATATTCCTATTTAATTTATAATTTATACTTCTGTCTTCCCATTAATGAAATATAGCATTCTTTCTTTTGCTGAATAAGAGATGAGATAATCTTAATGTAAGGATATTTTTAACTTTCCTTTATAAACCTTTTTATCTTAAACAAGATCTAATTGTAATAATCAGGTTATACCGCCGATTTCATTCATAGAATAAATTTGACTCCCTTTCATCCTCCCATTCTTATCAACATTTTAGATCCCTATTTCAGCTTGCTTAGATAAATATGAAAGTTTACAAAATTTTTAATTTGAATACCTGTAAATTTGAATCTAACTTCAGCATCTATTTTTAAGGTCATGATTCCTTCAACCAAGCCAATTCCTTGTTAAGGACAAACAAATGCTTGTTGATTGGATGAAAATTTAAGATGCTTATGTGAATTGCTTACATCAAACTTCTTCCCAATAAAAATACTTTTAGAAGGAGATTATTTTATATTTCTGTCCTAAATACACCTAAGATTGAATACCTGTCTTTTTACTATTTTTTATTATTATCTACTTCATCATAATCATCATAATCATCAAATTTGTCTTTTGGTACATAGATATATTCTTTATTAGATTATTTATTTGTATTTTTTGGAATAGTTACTGTTTATGATGGTAGTTTAAATTGCAATCTGTCTTAATCTGTAGAAGAAGTCTTTTCAGTATAATAAGAATAATTTAACGTTGATTATTATAATTATGATGATTGCTATTGCTATTGCTATTGCTATTGCTATTGCTATTGCTATTGCTATTGCTATTGCTATTGTTCTTGTTATTATAATTATAGTTATTATTATTATTATTATTATTATTATTATTATTATTATTATGGTTATTGCTATTATTACTATTGTTGTTGTTATTATTATAATTGCAGCTACTTATATCCTTTCAAAGGAATATTATTCTAATCATCTTCTTCGATTTATTGTTTTGAATTTATAATAGGCTATTATTGTGAAATACTTTAACTATATTCGATTTGATTATGTTAAATTTATTGTATTTCATTCATCATTTACCTTGGCTCCTCTGATTTGAATTAAGTCTGATAATGATTTTCCTATATTCCAAAATGTTTCATCAAATTTGGTTCAGGATCTATTTAATCATTAAATTCTTTTGCTCCTTAGTTGTAAATATTATTGTTATATTGGTTTCCCGTGGCAAAATTCTTTTCTAATAAATTCAGGCAATCACCTTCAAATATATTTAATCTAGCCTAAATTTCGTCAAGAAGGAGATCAACTTACATTTAATGTGGGGATTGGATTTATCCATAAAATATTTCAATATACTTTTAGATATCAGCCTCTATAGAGAGTGAATTTGATAGAATTTATAAATAATCATCAAAGTAAATTTATTCTTAAACAATATTTAGATACATTCTAGAAAATTAAATTGTTATTTATACTTCTTAAAAAATTCAAATAGTTCTTAAATTTTAAATATAATTCTCTCCTCTTGATATTGAATTAATTGATAAATATCTTCTTATACTGAAATCCTATGTTATTGGTTAAACTGATTTAATTTAAAAACAACTTTGCTTTCAAACTTTTATTTTGAGATAACTTTGTGATTGAATTAATTATGTTACTACAATTAATCCCAGTTTGTGATGAATCGATATAAGTGACATTACTTTTCAACACATATGAAAGTGTTCTTGTGAGAATATTAATCCATCATCATTTAATATTAAATAATAATAACAAAAATTTTATATTCCGAAATAAAATATTTATACAGCTGCAATTTTCTTCCTCATTATTAGTTATTTTATTATCAATATTATTGTTAAACTTTTTACTTAGAATACATTTTCAATTAATTAATTCTTTTTTTGATTAAATATCTCTTTTCTATTTCTTGATATATATTTCATTTAGAGTTTTTAAAATTAAATGGAGTAAAAGAATTGTTATAAAACAAACTTGTATGTAAAATAAAGTAGTACACACTTTAAATAGAAGGATAAATTCAATAAATACATTCAAATTAGAAAAAGAAAAAGATTCTTTTCTCAAGTTATTTTACAATTCTTTTCATTAAAAGATTGAAAATAATTAAAACTCTATCCATCTCTGATAAAAAGTTGGTTTAGTTTTCAATCAGCATTTCGTTCATGATTCTGATTTAATATTCAATTTTTATATCCAAGTACAAGTTTTTAATATTAGCCAGATTATAAATTTGAAGTTTTTCTTCTCTGAATTAATACACTATCAAGTTCTCTCAAAATTACTAGAAGACTATTTAGGTCTGCAGCTTAAATTTTAGTGAAAATCAAGTTCTTAATAGTCTAAGATAGAAATTTTATTCGTTTATAAATTTTAATTTTTAAGTGAATGATGACTTTGAGGAAAATTAAAATAGATTCATGATAATTAGTAAATACATAATTTAAACATTACAATTAAGTTATTGAGATTTACAAAGTATGCTTTCACACTTTTAGATTCTGCTCTCTATTGGTATATACTATATCAATAAGAGTTAATTTTTATTCAAATATTTATTTTAATTTTAATGGATAATCGTTTGGAAAAAAATGTTAACAAATTGATTGAGCGCTACAAGAAAACTAGTCTATAAATAGATTAAATGATATAACCAGAGTCGCAAAGTTCTCCTCCAATCATGGTTTATCATACTCGGTCAAGATAAAGCAAGGCAAATATTAATGAAGAGTAATACTTGCATTCCTAAAAGATAATAGAGAAAGCTCTTCAAGAGAAAAAAAAAATCATTCAATTGAACAAATTAGCAGACTTAGAGAAACCTTAAATGCAAAGGAGAATTAGGAAAAAGAAAAATAAGAAAGACTATTGATACTTAATAAAGAATTGAAAGTACTCTTTTAAATTGAAAATTAGATGACTTTAAAGGATTATATTTAAGCAAATAAGGAATTAGAGGGAAAGCTAGGTTAAAGGGAGAGAAATATTAAACAATTGGAATTTGAATTAAAATCTTTTCAAGATAGTTTAGCAAAGACTGATAACAATCAAAAGGAGATGCGATTAAAGTGTGAAAGTCAAGAAAAAATAATTGAGGAAATAAAATAATAACTTCATGCTTCCCGTTAATAATTATAATCAAAAAAGGATAAAATTTAATTATTGAAAAAGCAGATTAAATAATAGGAAAAATAATATGATGAATAGAGTTTAAATTTTGGGAGGGAATTAGAAAGGGTTCAAAAATTGTGTGAAGAGTTTTCAGCTGAAATGTATATTTGAGTGTTATTGAATAGCAACAATTAAGCAGAGCAAAACAGAGATTTGGAAGATGAAATTAGCGAGTTAAAGAATGAGTCAATTTAAAAAGATGAATAAATTAGATACTTTGATTAATTAGTATAAGATATAAGATTTAGAGATGAAGATAATTAAAAGTAAATAGAGTATTTATCTAAATTATTGCAATCTCAAAAAGATTAAACATTACAATATTAAACCAAATTTGAAGAGTCTTCATCTTATTTAAGTAAACTCTAATAAAATCAATAAAACCTGGCTATCAATTTTGAATAAGAAATTATTAAAATTAATAATTAAAATAAAGATCTTTTTGAGAAAAAAAAATAAAAAATTAATGAATATAGATAAAAAGTAGAATAATTATAAAATAAGAATTCTGATCTTTAAAGATAATTGGACATTTCAGATAAAAAATGCTAAATTCAGGAACATGAATTAAAGAAACTATCTTAAATTTCTTAAGAATTAAAGTCTATTAATGATCAGAGTAATTAAAAATCAAATCATAATGAATAGAAAATGAATTCACTACTCTTGGAAATATCAGAGTAGAAGTAAGTTAATTTTAATTAAAAAGAGTTAATTGTAGACCTTGAATAGAAGGTATCATAATAGAGAACCATTATTCACTAGGTATAAATAATTAAATAAATTTAGCTAACTTAAGAAAATTAAAATCTTTCTGACTCTTTGATTTAGCTACAAAATTATTCTAAAAATTTAGAATTTGAGTTTTAAGAGGAAAAGTAGTAAAAAGAAAAATAAATGGATGAAATTGAATAAAAGATCGACATATTATTTGAATAACTTCAATCCGCTAAGGATGAATTAAAAGATTCTAAGTAAAAAGAATAAGACTTAAAGTCTAAATTAAAGTAATCAGAACTAGAGGTTGAAAATTAAGTGTAGAAGTCTTTGAAGTATAAGCAATAGACAGATGTGCTTAGATAAACTATTAAAAATGTAATTATATCTTAATTTTAAAGTTAGAAGATAAATTTAAGATTTATGATACTTAAACATAGTAAGTGTAAGTTTAATAATAAAAATAAGAAGAATAATAAAATTAATAAAAATTAAAAGTCTTAGAAGATATTTAATCATTAATCAAATAACATAGAAAAATATGATATTATATTAGATTTCAAATAAATAAGTATTTTTACTCTTTAATATAAATTGAGTTTTTTTATATTAATTTAAAGTGAATTAGGCCAATATGTTATATATTAGCCAAACAAGTATATAAATAAGCTTGATTGAAAATCTTTTAATGATATTAATTTAATCAATTAATTTCTCTTTATTTGGCTATAAGTGCTTTAATTTATTTGATGTCAATGCTCCATTATCCAAATGGAATGATATATTTCAAGTACGCATAGAGAGATGGTTTTAATGATTATTCAGTAATTCCTATTAAATAAGTCTATTAATATTTTGGATATTATTAAATTAAATCCTGTTCATTCTTTTGTACAATATCAGCAAAGTCAGCAATTTCTTAAGGCTTTTTGACAAATAACATAATGTAATAGAATTGTTTACCTTATTATAAATACTATTTATAAATTCTTATCAGATCAGCTATATCCAATACGATAATTGGTTCTTTTATTTCGATTTTATCATAAGTTGAATTTCCAAAATTTTTGATTAAGTCCTTTGATAATTTAATTTCTGGAATGTAACATAAGATTTGATGCACTGTTTTTGGAGGTTAAGATATATTGCATCTATGAGACCATTTGATAAAGGCCCTATTGCTTCTGTTGTTCAAGATTGAGTTATGGAAATTAACTTTGCATGGTCCACATTGAAGATCACAAGTGGTATCGTTTTTTCTTGGAAATACTACTTTGCAGTCTCTTTTAGAGAGTCTCTTCTTTTTTTTAGGTTTGAGAGCTTCCTTCAAGAGATTTTTAAATTTCTCTTTTGCCAGATCTTACAATTTTCTCCTCTGAACTTAAGGTGTAATGAATGAGGGAGGTGAATTAGCTATGCTATCTGCATATTCCTAAATGTATGTATTCAAATATTTACACTGACAGCGCATTTGAAATTATTATCTTAATAATCAAAATGAAATTAATCTAAGAGACCTTTTTCTTTAGCATCTTGTAGAGCAGTTTCTAAAATAAAGACTACTTCATCCCTGATTTCAGGAAAATTTATCGACACTTTGGAAAAAGGTGAGGTTGTCTGTTATTTTTTAGTTGCAGGTAGACTCTTTCTAGATTTTGAATCTAAAATGAATTTAGTGGGTAGAATTTGTATTTTTTCTTTCCATTAATAATGACAATCATCCAAGACACTTCTTGTGAATGTGAGATCAGTGAACTGAGATATTTGTTCTAGTTTATTACTGGATATCAAACTCAAGAAGGTAAATGTTATTATAACATTGTCACCATCAGTTTAGAAATTAAATTCATTTTAATTTTGTTTCATCATTTATTTGCATCTCTTTAAACAATGTATAAGCCATTCTTCATTAGGAGTCAATTTATTCTCATTAACACCAAAGACTTATGAATACAATTTAATTACAGATGGTGTACATGTGAAATTAAAAGTAAATTCAAGATCATATCCTGATTTTTCTGAATTGATTTACTAAATGATACATTTGATAGATAATTAACCTTTCTATTTATCACAAAATTAAGTAGATGTTAGAAGAGTCTATATTATGAATAATAATAATTTCTTATCTCCTGCCACTATTTCTGGAATTCCACTTTCAAAGTTTAAATTAATAATATTAAAATGCTCATACAATTTCAAAACCATTGATTCTATTATATTGCAAATGGACACCTTGAGGTAAAACTAAGAAATTTCAGGCTAATAGCTTTTCATTGTGGATCTGACTTAATGTTCTAAGTGCAAACATTCCGATAAGCAATATCCTAAAACACTTAAGTCAGATTCTTTAATCATTCTAAAGGCTCTCAAATTATTCCATTTTGTATAATCTTAATTTAATTGCACATATAACTTATTAATCTATTCATACATTTATTCATAAAAAGTATTTTCTTCGCTATGGAAGTGTGATTAAATTAAGATAAAATTTCCTTACCAAGGCTTAATGTAATAATCTATCACTTCCTTTTCTTAATTCTCCAATTAAATTATACCATAGAATTTTCTTTTCATATAATTGCTTAATATTTCTTAGGATTCTTGAGTGAATTTTATTGACTTATTTGTAAATAATTCATTAAAATTCTCATCAAAGTACAGAATATGATGAGGTAAATTAAGCAGAATGCTATCCTATTCATATTTGTGGGAGTTGATATTACAGATTTTAGAATAAAGAAATCTCTTTAAGATTTCAATCGCTCTCATTAGGGCAACAAAAAAACAAAGTATATAAATCTGATTCAACTATCTGATAATTCCAATTTAAAATAGCACTTGCATTGGCCAATAAGGCACTAAAACCAAATTAGTGATACAAGTATATATATGCTAATAAATGCAATTATTGTTCATCTGAACTAACTATGCCAGATATAATATAGCTTAGATTAAGAATCTCCATTTGTGCTTGTTTCTATAATAAAAATATGTTGCTATTATAACACTGCCAATAGTGACATAGTTACAATAAAAAATGATCTTCATAAGAATAATTCCTGGATATAAATAGAGACCACTGAATTTAGAAAGTCTGAAATTTTGCTCATGTTTTTCATACATAAATCTTCCTGTGGAGGATATTTAGTATTTATCCATTATTTAATTTTATAATCTAATTTTACTCACTTAAATAAACTCATTTAATTTCTTATATCAAACAAATTAAATGAAATTATGCTAATTTGTACATTCATAAATGAACTATACAAAGTAAATCAGTTATTAATAAAACTATGCGTAATATTAGATAGGAAATGATAACATGATTAATTCAGCTTAAATATGCTGAGTATATGGTATTAATTAGTGATCTATATTGAATAAAATAAAAATAAGATAGTAAATAGAACCGAATTTTACTTCTCCATTATTATTATTGAAGTGTTTTACATATGAATTATTAATAGCTGTAGCAAATGTTATTTTCAACAAATTATTAAAACTTGTAAAGGATTGCAACGATTTTCATGTATGTTAATAAAATATATTTGATTTTACTTATTAAGTTCACTAAAATGAGTATCTTTTCTTAAAGAATGCTATTGGAACTTCAACTTTTTCAAAATTCTGGTCTCCCATTCGCTTTATTATTAAATATAATGGTATATAACTGGTATTCTAAAAATAAAAATTTCATTTAAAAATCAATAAAAATTCATGAATGGCTTTTTGAAAACTATTTCAAAATTTGATGGATTCTTCGTTTCTTTCAACCCTTCGTTTGGATTGACAGAATAAAGAATATTTTATAAAACTGTCTGGGGTGGCATGGCTACAATAATAATTTTAACATTTGTATTCGTATACTCAATAAATTAACTGATATTATGGGGATCAGGTGATATGATATATAAAGTTTCATCTCAATAAAAAACTATTACCGAGGGAAGCTACTTAGAATAGCTATTTGTAAGAAATGATCCAATTTAATCTCTTAGCATAGAATTTATGAGCTCAATTAATCCATTTGATAACAAATAAATGATAATAATCCCATTGCTTTATAAACTTAATGAAGATGAATTGTATTCAATAGAATCTGAGGGTGGTGATGAAAATACTGTATACGTGGATTTGAATAATATACTTTATAATGCTTTCAATATAATTTTTGTGAAATGCATAGGGAATGAAGATTACTTATCTGAGTTTTAAGAATGCGCTAGTTAGGAATACAGTGATGAATTCTTCGATTAAATAGGTCTATTATCAACAATAGCAGTTTATAACGAAGAATTCGATATTTCAAAAAAAACTTATGATCAGTATGAAACATATGTTAATTTACCCTTTGATACAATCTTAAGTAATGAAGTACAGATTTTAACAAATTATGAAGTTGTTGAAGCAAATTAAGGATATCTATTCCAATCATCCGAATAATATATTGTAAACAAAGGATGCACATCTTAGGTTTACACATTCACTAAGGATTATCATCAAAAGTTGTATGAGGAAGAAATCGGTGTTCAGGAAGTCATAGGCTCGATATAAATACAAATGAACTCTACAATATTTTATGTGAGAAATCAATATCCCACAATAAGTGAGGTTTTGGCTAGCATTGGTTCAATCATCTAAACAATATTGCTAATTAGATACATTTTTTATGCTCTGAATAGGAAATAATTGATCTCGTTTATGAAATCTACTTTATTGATTAATTATTATCCTGAATGGAAGGAAATTAAAAATGTGAAAGAAAACAAAATAAATTCAACTGTCTTAGAAGACAAGAAGTTAAATAAGACAAGCATTGAGAAATTTGATAAAGATGTTCATGAAATGTTAAACCATAAATTTGACTACATAAACCTAATTTATGAAATGCATCAAATGTAAAAGATATTATAATTGATTACACCACCAGATCTGTTGTTGAATATTCATTCGAATGAATCCAAATTATAAATTTAACAAGATGAAAATTCAAATCAGTTTAGTGTTTAAAATCCATGGTCTTCATTTGAGGATTATTCAGACTCTATTCATAAGAACCATTTGGATCCATTTTTATTTAGTTATTATTGGAAATCCAAGAAAAAGAATGGTAGTTTATATAAAATACCTTCAAGTGAAAATGAATAAATACCAAAATAATTTAAACCGACTTAAATATAGGAAAATGCAGATTAAGTTGTTGATGAATTAAGAAACTAGGATTGTAAAATCAACATTGAAAATAATGATTAAAATATTTAAGATTGAAATATAAAATAATATCAATTATTAATTATTATTATTTAAGAAAAGGAAATAAGTGTATGAATTCATGAATTTCTTGTAAATATAAGTATAATATTAAAACTCATAGATTTTAGAAAATGCTCATTCTCATATGTTGGGATTGTTAGATATTAATTTTAAAGAATAAATCTTGTCTAAAACAGTCGATTTTGGTATTTGTAATGCGTATAAGCCTATCAACATTATTCTCATTAAAAGTTATTTTCTAAAAAATAATCCATATCATATTGTATCATAATTTAGTATTTATCTTCAAACCATTATTGAATTAAAAACTTTATCCTTTATTATTTAATATATTTAAAATGTTGAAAATTTTTTAATTTTGTTTTGATTATTTAATAAAATCACAATTTTTGAGTTCATAAGGATAATAATTATTAAAATACTCATATATCTTTTCATGTTTAATATTTGTCTATTCAATTAACTAATTAAAATTCTTAGTCTGTCCAAATTTATAAATATTAAATAGTGTATATATTTCATTATTGAAATCAAAACCTTAATAAGCTAATCTTAAAATTCTGAGAAAATTAATTATCCATACTGTCTATTTTATCTAGATACCCTTTTGATTTTATAAATTCAAACTCCAATTATCTATATGTTATTTTGAATGAATTCTCCAATAACTAAGCTTGAGAGACTTTAGAGTTAAGAATAAATAATTATTATTCTTATTTGATAAATGAAACATGAAGATTATTTGAATAATTATATATATCAAATTAATGACTCATATGTTTAAGTTCTTGGCCCTTAACTTGTTTTAAGTTCTAATAAATTAAGATGACTTACTTCTAGAGGAAGATTGACTTGTAAGATTTCGTTTGACATGTTCTTGAGCTGCTAATAAATTAAAATCATCGTTTGTTCCTGAATTATAGATGATAGTACTTGTTCTTCTTTGTAAATTCTCTCGATATTTTTTAACTCTTTCAATGTCATTGACCCATGTTTTCTTGGAGTATGCCGAACTTGCTGATTATAACCGCTTTAGAATGGTTTAATTCTCTGAACTTATTTTGACTTGTTCTCTTCTTCTTAATGCTTCTAATGACCCATGTGTCGGAGGTTACTTCAATGTATTATTCCTCTATTGAATTTCCATCATTTTTCTAAGCAATTTGCTGTTTTTGTCCATGACTTCCTAATCATTGGCTAAGTTATATTCTCTGGAATTTACTGTTAGTGTATTTGTTGACTAATCTTGATATTGAATGCCCTGGTCTCCATGGTTAAGAGTTATTTACAAGAGGTTTAGAATTTTAGATATTATTCAAATGCATAAGTTGCTCCTTGACATAATAGATTGAAAACTGATACCTAAGCTATTTTTTTCTTGAAACATATAGGATTAGAATAAATGAGGTTCCACATTATAAATAAATTAAAATGACTGAAGTAGAAAAACAAAAATTTAGAAATGACACAGAGTTTTATGAAATTGTACGAACTTTTCATGAATTGGTGACTGAGATCAATAAAAGTTAGTAATCATTATATTAGGTTTTCACAAAGGAAAAAAGCAATATCATAAAAAGAATAATCATCATATGAAATAAGGTTAAATTCAGAAAAAAACGAAACGAATATAAAAATAACCTATAAAACTGGAATTCGGAAGGAATCAATATCACATCAAAATAGCATACAAGATTTTTTATTTGAACTCTACATCAGAAAACTCCTTAATCTCAATGGACAAATGGAATCCTCTTCAACAATCAATGAAAATAGTTAAACAACCGGAGGATATTGACATCAAGAAAAAGTATGTTTAAATTGTTGAGCAATAATCAGGAAAAAGAGAAGCAGCTTGAAATTAATATTTATATATTATCTAAGAAACAGAAACTAAACAATCTATAATGGCAATTTTTAATATTGTAATTATTAATGCAATGTAAATTGTCATAAATCTTTAGAACTTTCTATGAACCCCCCAATTTCCTTAGTTTCTAAATCAAAATCCTCTATTTTATTTTCCTTAAGTTAATTGATATGTTCGATTAATTTTCGTTGCATATTTTAGAATCTTTTTTTTGCATTGTTTTTGGGAGAGCCTGTTGGAGAAACGTGCTTAGACAATTATTTCTCTGATTCCAACTTGAACTTTAGAGCATACACCTTGCACATTTCTTCAGGAGTGTGTTGATCAATCAAGAGTTCCTCTATATATCCTGTTTCGACCCTGAATAACCATCCATGGACCATTACAGCTAGGAATGTTAATTATTTAATTTACGATTCCCCTTTTGCCAAGCCTTTTGGATTATTGGATTCTTCCAAATGTTCATAACTTGAGCTCTGACATTCAACTAACTTAGGCAAGTAATTTTGTCATTTTCGTCGACAAAGGACTCTATTAAGTCTGCATGTTTCTCGTAAACCAACTTTATTTAATTCAACCAGAGGTCTAACAATCCCCCAACAGAATCTTAGGTCATAGCTGCCTTTACACCACCACAACAAGTATGTCCCATGACCACAATATTATGAATATGTAAATGCTCTACTGCATATTGAATAACACAATTAAGCTTTAAGAATCAAAGAGACTCTTACATTTAAATCCGTAGGTATAACTAAGTTGGCAATATTTCTATGAATAAAAATTTCTCCAGGATCTGTCTCTGTCAGTTCATTAGGAGGGGCTCTTGAATCAGAACAGCCAATAAGTAAATATTTTGGACTTTATCCTTTCGATAAGGTCTTAAAGTATAAGGGGTCTTCTTCCATCTTTTTTGCCACATATCTTTTATTTCCCTCTAAAACTCGATTGTAGTGGTTGATTTCCTAAATACTGTGACTCACTATTTATTGATTCATTGCAAGATAAATTATTATTATTATTCTGTTGGATAAAATGATGAATATAAATTACACTAAACTACGTTAATCCAAATTTTGAATATCTAAAATTTTAAAACTGATTATAATTAAAATATATATTGAGATCAGTTTGTATATTTATTAAATACAAATTAATGTGAGAGAATAACTCAAAATGCTTAATATAATAAGACAAGTTGCAGTCAAATATTGTCTGATTTATTGATCTTACCAAGAAATTTGTATCCACCCTAGCTTGAATTTCAATCTTATCTAGTATTTATAGATAAATATAGAATTTCTTTATAACTGAATTTATATTGGATAATAAATTTTAATTTCAGTTGACATTATTAATACTAATTAGGAGCACATCAATTAATAAAACACTCAAAAACGAGAAATAATATCATAAAAGGAAATGAATAATTTAATTTCTTATTGATATTTTATTCAATCTTTTTTAGCATACTTTAATAATGGATTGTTTTGAGTTTGCTTCGAAAATTTAGATGGTTTTAATTGGGGTGATGGTGAAAATACACTACTTTTTTTGGTTGGAGTTCCTATAGTCTTTGCACTATCAACAGACTCAATTTTTCTTTTTATTAAAGGCGAATCGGCGACTACAGCCTTTTACGAATCGATTTGTTTTTATTGTTTAATCTACTTCTACAACACTAATCCAGGAGATTAGACTAATCCCGGTGATTAGGAAGGAGAGTAAACACTTTTCGTTAAATCAAACTACGAATTACTAGAATAATAATAAATGATACTTATCATTCATTGATTAAATATGAATTTTTTCGTCAATCTCATCCAAACTGTCCTCTTGGTTTTCATCTTCAATCATTTATCTAGCTGTATCATACAAACATATATGATTCAGACATCTTTCAACATTGACTCTCTTTTTTGGATCTTTCTCAAGCATTTATTTAAGTAAATCTATAACATATCCAGGTGCATTCTATAACTATTTGATATCGAAATTGATATTAGCTTCTCTATTCTATTTTACTACTGTAGAATAGCTTTTTCCATTAAAAGCAGATTTTCCAGTAAGCAATAGATAAAATACTAATCCAAGACTATAAATGTCACAGACAGAAGAATATTTAGATTTCATATCTTTAAGATTGATTACCTCTGGGGCCACAAACCCTGGAGTTCCACATCTGCAATATAGATACTCTGGCTCGTTTACATAGGTTGCCAATCCAAAATCAGCTATTACAACTGATTCCATCTTACTTGATAGAATAGTTAAACATATACTTTGGCTTTTTGAATAGTATATTCTCTAGTTTCAAATCTCTATGCATAATCTCTTTGTGATGCATCTCTTGTAGGCCTAACAGAATTCCCACGATTATCTGTTAAATTTACTTCAGATTGATTGGAACCTTATCTTTGATTAAATCATATAATGATCCTCCCTCTAAGAGTTCCAGAGCTAAATATAAAGAATTATTAGTTTCATAGACTTCATATAATTTCATTAAATGCGTATTATTTAATTACCTCATTATCTTCAATTCATTTATAATTGCATTTTTCCCATTTTCTTCTCTATAAGTTGTCGATTTGGCAAATGCTTTTATTGCCATAGATTAATTATCTTCGATTCTCTCCGCTTAATAAACCTATAATAAGTTAGAAGTTTTTACAGATGCAAAATTTCCCTTCCCAATTTTTTTATAGACTCTGAACATGTTATGAAATTACCATTAGTTGATTCTTCCTCCTAGATAGTATCTCCATTCAATGATTTGCTGAGCTTCTGCATTAAGTCTCAATTTAACCATATTCTCATTGTAGTCTCTTAACAATTGCAATCCTATTATGGGACCTAAGCTATCGTCTTCCTTGTCCTTTTTTGGAATAGGCCTTCTCAATATTTCAAATTTGACATCGAATTCAAGTTTTAAGCATTTTTTAGGTTGGGAGGCTCTCTATTATAACTCATTAATTAATTACTTTAGAAGAGAGAATGTATTAATCATAGCCATAGAGGACTCTAACCTTCCCATTTTCTTTTGTAAACTCCCCCTAGATGTAAGCCTTTTCATTTTAAATGTTTAAATCGTGTGGAATGGGTATCCACAGTTTTTATTACATCAAAATTTTGAATATTAATGAATAAAGTATCTAAATATAAATCTCGATTTGAATGCGATAAATATAATTTCTAATAATTAAAATCAAATTTAAAGAAGTTAATTTCATTTACAGATTATTCTTTCTGGAATCAATTATATAAAACTAATTCGGGTTTTTAAAGATTAAAATTAAAAATATTTAAAAATTATCTAAAAATAAAATTAATTCAAAACTTTCTAAAACTTTATTATTATCCTTTAATATGATGGGACATTGCAGGAATATTTCTTACATTCATTGACTATTTCATCTAATCCATCTCATGAAAGTATTGAGTTTGTCTAAATTCTTTTATTATATACTCGTCTCTTGTAGTTTCTTAGACTAAATTTTATTAAAACTGTCCTAAAATTTATCCCATCTCATAATACGATTTCCCTTGTAATTATCTGACCAAAAATATATATACAAGACTTTTCGTGAAATCTTGAGAATTTCGGACATGCTAACTAAAATTAAATATTATTTAACTTAAAAAGGTCCACAAAAACTACATTCGGATATTCATCAATTAATTATTCAACACACTGATAATCATCCAGTACTAATCCACCTAACAGGGGAACAGGCACATTCAATAGTTCTATATTTTTTGGAGGAATCGAAGCTACCATCTAATGAATCCATTTCACATGTTTTAGAAAAAGCATAAGGATTGCTCCTAATTATTATACATTTGGTGCTACAAATATCACTGATCTCTCTAAAATGATATTTATTGCAACCAACCCTAGACTAAGGGCATTGTTTAGTATTTTTAATTGTTTCACATGGTAATCATGAAACTCATAATAAGATTATGGTATTTATTGACTTGGAACTTAAATAGGCAGAGTTTCAAAAAGAGGGCATTTTTGAATGTATTACGTGAATGTCAAATTATTAAATCTCTCCTCTTTGGCACAATCTAATTAATACAGTGTTCATACTCATGACTTCAATCAAGAAATCTATAAAATATTTTATCAAAGGCAAATATGAAACTATGCAGAGTACTCTTTCGCACTTCAAATAACTATTCTTTGATGGACAAATATCTTGTATTGATAAACAAATACAATAAGCTAATTAATTACTATTATACTCTATAATAAATTAAGTTATTACATGCTTTTTCAAATGACTCTGAAGTTTTGATTGGTAAAATAAAGCAATTTGGATTGTTTTCCGAGACATGTCTCTTATAAAGGATTTCATTGATTTCGCTTTGAGAGTCTGATAACTTTTTCTAGACATCCTTTGCTCCATAGGGAAATACAAGATCAGGCAACAATTATTCAAGATGACATCCTCCATATTAATAGAGTATCTCTGTTTTGCCAAGAGTTGCATTTCCAATTAAATAAATGCCCTCATAAAATTTACAAATTAGATGTCTATTCTATTATGAAAATTTCTCCATCTTATTATTAATGTTTTGATAACTCTAAATTTTTTTAACTCCTCCGCCTTCATCCGTATCAACATGAACACTGAATGAGTTTTTTGTTGATAATGGAGCTCTATTATAGTAAGATGTTTTGCGTTGACTATTCTGAGAATTTGAAATTGATGTGCTCACTTTTGTCTCTACTCCTTGAATATTTCTACATTAATCTTACTGGTATGTGTTCTGGATGCTTTAGACCCGACTAAGTGATCTACATTAGTTTTTTTTGTTAGCATATATAATGGGATTGGATCGTTATTTTACATTAATTTAATTTTGTAATAAATTACTTAGAAAATTAACAAATTATTGATTTTTAAGTATTCATCAAAATGAATTACATTATGAATTTGAGGATCTATCATAGAATATATTTTAAAGAACTAAAAAAGGAATTAAGAAATCTATTCTTAAGAGAAACATTTCATTAAATAAATCGATACATAAATCTTTTACTTTTGAAATAGCTTAATTTAACTATAAATATGGTAATAATACCATTCCTTACGTATTAATAATCTATATAAAAAGAAGAATAAAGATTAATTAAAATTAGAATAATTTATCTTGAACTTTATTATAAATAATCCATATTTTCATTCATAGCATTAATACTATTCCATAAAAATCTTTGGGATATCCTTCTGTTTTAACTTATTTAGCAACTTAGATTAAAAATTATAAAACATATATTAATAATTATTTTCAATTAGAGGTTTCTAGGAATTTATTAAATTTATTGTAATGACTAATATATATATTAGTATATGTACTCGAATGCTTAATTTTAGATTATGCTTTCGTATTTCTAATTCAAAGGAATCTCAAAATTGTTTTCGTCCATCAAATCTTAATATTAAGATTCTTATTATTTATCGGTTTTATTCCAATTTGGAAAAAATGTGGGTTTTTCTATTTCAATTTGAGAGGGCAAATATTTAAGAACCATTGAACTAAAGGTTCCAACATTTGAATTAGATGAGGAATTAGATAAATGTCTTAGATCTGTCCTTTATCCAGGCTTTCTATTTGGATCAGGGGGTAACAAAAGGTGATGCTGAGAGGACGGACTAGATTTAATTAAAATATACGCAACTTGTGGATGCTATAATTGATCATTGACTGTCCAAATAATCTATTGGGATAGTTTTGAAGAGCTTTTCATTAGATTTCCAGGAGATAGTTCTTTAATTTTATTGAATTCAAATGACTTTTTAGATTCTAAAGAGCTAAACTTTTTGGTTGACTTTATTAAACCTTCAGTCCAATCATAAATTCCATCTAATAGAAATTGGTTATTTTCTGCAATTTAATTAAGAAGTTATAGGATATATTAATAGTTAGGTTGATCTAAGAATTTCAAGGATTTCAAATATGAAAGTATTTCGACCAATTCATGTGGTTAATTAACGCATAATTCATTTAGGTCTATGTTTGATTTGATTTCTCCAACAGCCTTTGTTCTTTCATTTTCTGAGACCGGCAAATTTTACCATGGTAGACTGCCACGAAGAAAATATAAAATTACATAAAAAAGAGATTCCAAATCATCCTTCCTTGAGATTTCATGGCCCAAGTGAGCAGCTACAGATGCATATCTAGGTGTGCCCATAAAGGTTTTATCATTTCTGAATGGCCTATAATACAAATAGAATTGAAAAATTACATATGTTCTCCCTAAATGCTATAAATTTTACTAATGCCAAAATCAACTATGTAAATACCCTCGTTATCTTTTGACATTAGTATATTTTCTGGTTTGAGATCTCGATGAACTACATTCTTATTGTGGATATTTTTGAGGATGACAACGCAATCATGAGCAATTTGAATCGTACATTTCAAACTGAACTTCTTTTACTATCTAAAATAATATGCCAAATCTCTTCCTAACAATTGTATAACCATGATGTTGAATTCACTTTCATTTCCATACCAAATCAACTTAGGAGTACCTTCAGCATCATTTAATTATTTCAAGATTTCAACTTCTCTTTCCAGAGATCTCATCTCCTCATTATCCTCCTTCTCCAATTTTAATGCTGCATCCTGATTTGTTTATTTATCAAACACCAAATAGACGACTCCAAACGCCCCGGATGAAATCTTCTTTTTAACAACAAATCTATTCATAAATACTCTTTGCTAACTACTTTGGCTCATAAAGAAAAATTTATTTATAATTTGGATTTTTATATAAGACTCTAGCCAATCAATAATAATAGGGATATCCATAAGCTGGTCTCACTGTGGAATATGTCAAGGGAGTTGTATATTAAGCAACAGGTTGGGTGACAACTGATTGAACTGGCTATACAACTGAATAAGTCAAAGGAGCAGGAGCATATTGAACAGGGGCGGCAGGCTAATATTTCACAAATACTTCTTACAACTCTTTAGACCTCTCTCTCGACTGCTTCATATTCAACTCTAGGAACTGTTTTTTACACAGGTACATATTCTGTTTATGTTTCGTAGACTGTTCTTGGAATGTAGTCTGTTTGATATTCTACAGGGTAATAATCTGTAACATATTTTGTCACTGGCTTCTTAACCTCAATGGTCTCAGTCTCATACTCAACGACTGGTCTTTGATACTCTCTATACTCAACTCTGGATTCTCCTTTGATTGCTGGTTAAGCTGCAACGACTGGTTGCACGACTGATTAAACCACTGGTTAGACTACAGATTGAGTGACAACTGGGGCAGGAGCGGTGTAAATAGGGGCGGGAGCTGTATAAATTGGAGTGGTTGCAACAGGTCTAACAATTGAGGCTTAAGGATAAGCAAGAGGGGCTGCAAAGGATGCTGCAAGGGGTTGTGTGTATGATGGGTAGAATCCTGGGTAGAATGACATTTGGAATAATTTTATTTATATGCATTTTATTTTAGGATTTATTTCGTTAAATAAATGTTCTAGAATAATAATTTTAATAATTCTACACTGTTTAAAGTAATATTTCCTGATTTCCCAATTCTGAATATATTTCCTATACATCGATTGTGGCATCATAATCAAAGTGTTTGTATCTTTCTCAAAAAAGGCGACATGCCTTGTCTACTTATTTTTTAGGTCTATCATTTAGACCATAAATTATAAAATACCTTTCCATCTATTATTAAATCTAATTTGTCAGCGTTCTTTCTTAAATAACCAATTTATCTTTAATGCATCCAACCAAACATTTAGAATTATTTTATTATTCTTTTCTTTATTTAGTTTCAGAGCTATTTGTTTAAATTATTTGCATTATTGTAGTCTTTCGAAACAATTGGTATTTCGAAATTTATTGATTACCAGTATATAGTTGAAAATTTAGATGATATTTATGTATCTATTGGTCATAATATTTAATTTTCTTAATTTTTATCACTCTCTTACGGTTGTAGCTAATAAAATTCAAATTTCTCTATTGTTTACTAATTATATCCTAAAATGCCAGAATGCCAGAATATCAAATAATATTTATTCTATATAACCTTATTTTTATTAGTTTCCTCCTAAATAGACAATCTAGAATATTGTATTTATATAAACAATTTAAGAATCTGATTAATGAATAAGACGATAATGAATTTCTCAAGAAATTCGGAAATTAAAAAAAAATATTTAATCTTAAAATATTAACTCAAAAATTTTATTTATTTTTATTTTTATATAAATTAATAAATTGATATTAATGAGTGAGGCTATGACTTAAAGTTTCTTAGTAAAACAATATTGCTTAAATCACCCTAATGAATAGTTGACTAACTTTTGTCAGACTGCAGATTGTTTAAAGGCATTATGTGCATAATGTATTGAATCGCACAAACAATATCATAATTAAATGTCTACTGATGCGGATATTGAAAGCTTTGGAAATGTGAAATTGTAATGCTAAAAAAAAATAAAATCAGGTTTGGTTGAAATGTAAAAGATTTAAACCATGGTTAACTAATATGGGCAAACTGAATACGAAGATTAGACAATAAAAGATATAAAAAAGGCCAAAGAAAATGTAATAAATTTAGTTAATCAATACTTTACATTATTGGAGGATCAATATAAGCAATACTTAGAATCTCAGACGAACTAGTAATAAATTTTCATTCAGCAATAAGAGAATGTTTAAAATTTTATAAACGAATTAGAGAATTTATACGTTGGATTGGAAAGTTCGAATCAAATAAATATGATAAAGAATGTTTGCAGTTTGGATATAAAAAGAAATTAGCTTAAATTTAAGAAGGTTATGAAAAATTTATAAAATTTGCAATAAAACAATCCATCGATGATTAAGCTAAATTAAAATAATTTACAACACATTTAATAAGCTTTGTATAATTATGTATAGGTTGATTTTATTCCTTTGTAGACTAATTTGTTATTGAATACTAGTTAGATATCATAAACCTTTTAAGAAACATATTTATAACAAAATGAATTTTTTAGAAATAAATATAAATTATTGCACTTTTTTGAGACAGGAAAATCAGTGCTTTGGTTATTTGATTTGAGTTTACCTGACTAAGTATGGAGACCTGTTTAAATATCAAATTATGTTGAAGTGTTACCATTTTCAAAGTCATTAATAACTCCAGATGGACAGATTTACTTAGCAGGAGGGTCATTGCCAAATAAGAAGAAGAGCAATACAATTTATCAATTCAATTTTTCTAATTATCAATTATAAGAAATCGGATAAATGAATAGTGGTAGAAGTTCACATGGCTTAATTTGGAAAGATAATCAACTTTTTATTATTGGTGGATATTTAGATAATTTGTAGATAACAAATTAATGTGAATCATTTGATTGTCTAAACAAAAGAGTAATAAAATTACCGAATTTAAGCAATGCTCTAGGATCTCCTAGTGTTAGCATATTTAATGATACTATTGCAGTCGTTGGTGGAATAAGTATTACGCTATAATTATATTAGTGCAAAACATGTAGATTAACTAATAGATAGAATTTTTACAGAAAGAAACTTGGGTATCTTGTAGTGTAACATCATAATTGACTTCTATGGCTTCGATGATGTGTTCAATTCAAATAGAATAAAATTAATTAATGATATTTGGTGGATATTTAGAAAATAATAAAGGCTCAAAAGAATGCACTATTCTAGAGATTAATGACAGGACAGCAAAGGTAGTTCAAACCAAATAGCTTCCTTAAGCTGAAGGATTCTGGAATAATGTGCCAATCATTCATCAAGGGAGGGTTTTGGCATTATAGAATGTGGTGTTGGACAATTAAGGCAATTGCGCTTATGATCAAAGAAGAATCATAATTTTTGATGGTACATTTTGGAAGTATAATGATTTAAAATGACATCATATATTATATTCAATCTTAGTTTAAGCTCTTATTGGCTATCTTCCCTTATGACATAATCCAGAGCCTTGGGTTCTCTTGAGTAGTGTTTAGGTTTATGCTAGCATTTGAGTTTTGGCCATAGGAAAATGATTGGAGAAAGTCTTGCAGAATGAAGATGCAGATTTGAACCCATTGATTGCAGTTTCAGCTAATTTTTTAGTATTGTTTCCAAAGTAGTTTGATTATCTTAGGACAGCGCTGTCTAAATTTTGTGCACTTTTTATAATTTATTTAATTTCCACTGAATTATTTGGTTTAACGGCAGGTGTAAAATTAAAATAATTTTATGTTTCGCTTTTTTTGGGAGTCAAAAATAATGATTTAGTTGACATAGCTTTTTGGTTGACTCTTTTTAATGGACTTTAATTTGGAAATTATCTTGTTGATCTTACTTCCATAGATTCTCTTCTATCTCTGTCATTGTAGGTTCTACCATACTGAGTACTAGCAGGTCTTTGTTATCTTCTTCTGTTTAATTCGAAATCGAATTATTATAATTGTTGCATAAACCCTGGATTTGGGTTGATTTAAGGTCTCCTGCTAATGAGGAATGTAAGTGCAGCATGTAATGAGTAATTGTACATTTGCATTAGATATGCTATCACCAATGTAGCACTTCTGCTAACTCCTACATAGCAGTGGACTAAAACATTCTTTGTTTTTCGTTATTCATCAATAAAATGAATGGCCTCCTCGAAATGTCTTCTGATAGGATCATAAGCAGTATCATGTAACATAATCAACTAAAGATGGTCAGCATAACTACTTTTTATTCACAATCGAATTTGAGGTTAGCCAATTCTGTACCCACTGTTAGCACTGCTCCGATCTAGTTTTATTGCAATAATTATGGATTCAAAGCAGCCTCAATTCCACTTAGAAATAATGCTCCGTAGGTTTCAGTCTTTCCTAAAATCAAATCCATCTGTCCTGATGGAAAAGGGGGTCTTGGTTATAACATTCTTCTCTAAAATAATTAATTAATAATAATATTGATGATAAAAAACAGTAGAGCTGTTTTGATCAATACCAATTTTATTATTGGATTAGATGCTTTGTTTATCATTTAAGAATTTCAGACCCTAATAGAATGTATTTTGTAGAGATTTATTATAGATAAATAAGATAATATATAAGTGAGTACCGATTCCCAATATAAAATTAAAACTGTGGTTTAGATAATTGATATTTTTTATTAATGTATATATAATTAATGTTCAATCAAATCATTCTCTTGACAAGATCATTGATGAGATCTTCTCTGTTTCCCCAATCACCTTAGTTGATGAATGATCTTCTCTTAGCAATAAAGCCACCTCTTGGTCCTCTCAATTTGAATGCCCTTTAAAATTTAATTAATGAATTTATTACCACAAGAATCTGTTTGCTTCCTTGAAATGAGCTCCTACTGTAACAATCTCGTGGACGAGATCTTCAATGCTGTGAATTCCAACCTTTCCTAATTATTATTCAATAATGTTGTTGTTTGTGAGTGGGATTCTTTGACCATTAATTTTGGCATATCCTCTCTTGTAAATCAGATTCTTGATGACAGCTCTTGATGGATATCCATAGGTCACATATGGCTCGACCTTTCTGATCATTTCAATTGTAGCCTTGTTGACTCTGACAAAGGCTGCATTGTGAAGTTATCTCAATTTCAAAAGTCTCAAAGTTTATCTGACTTGTGGATTCAAGGTGTTGATACTGTAATATATATCATAATTCAATACCCTCTGATTCTTACCACCAAGATCAATTTAGATTCTGCTGGTACATAGAATCCACCTTCGCTCTTTGCCTTACGTAAGCTATCAACTAGGCTCTTATCTGCTGCTTTGTATTCGTTATCATAAGCTTAAGCATTCTTTTCCCATTAAGCTCTTCTTGTTTTGTTTGCAGCTAATCTCTCTGTTCTTCTCTTAGCAACAGCTTCTCTCAATTTGGTATCTCTTGCATTCTTCTTCACTATGTTTTCTGGAACCTTTTATCTACACCATCTAATCCAAAAACTTACTCAACTTGCATTTGTGGCTTCTTTTAAGACATTTTAAAGCAAAATAAAATCTTAAATTTTAAAATCAAATCAACTAAAACTTCTTATTCATATTCTATCCCCTATTTCTCTTATAAAATGCAATTTTGCTATCTCCCAGAAATATCGGTCCAGTAGGCTGGCTCAACAAATCCATGTCCGTTCCCCTTAGAACAATTGGATCATCTATCTCATTTAACTCTATCGTAGTTGTTTCATTTTGAATTTCCTGTTGCAAATTTAATTTGATTCCCAGAGTGTGAGCATTCATTATCGTGTCTCTATCCTATAAG